CATCTGTGATCCTAGAGACCCTATAATCTAGACTATCTGTCTGGTCCGTCTCCGCTTCATCCCATTCTTCATCTACTAATTTTTCCTCCAGCGTTGACCGGAAGGCTTTCCAATTTGCCCTTCGGGTTAAATAACCCATAGCGATGCCGTGGGAACGTTCCATATTTTCCACCAGCTTAAAAGCTATCGCTTGGTGGTCGGAACTCGTCTCAGATCGGAGGATCCAATCGTTGATGCGACTCGCTAGCACCGGTGATGCCAGTGTTACATCAATCCAGCTCTGCCCTCGAGCGCTAGAAAACGTTGGCAAGGCAGAGGGATCATTCATTACCACTAGCTGCCTTCGGCCAATGAATTCTCCGAGTTTAACGCCTCTTCTATTCGTTTGATTGGATCCCCAGACCGTGTTCCAGGAGTTGGTATCTGAGCAGATGATGATGTTTCTATAGCAAGCCGTGATCATCTCCATGGCGGATATGTCGTTGTCTATATCACCTCCGTCAGGAAAATATGATGAAACCAACGTAAAGGTAATATTACCCCATTTGATATAACATGCGACACAATCCGCCGTGGTAAACTGCCTCAGATCCATCACATCGAGGTTTGGGTTATTTACCACTATAGCTGCCCTGGGCCTCCTCTCTCCACTGCTCAGGGCTATAACCCTCGATGTGAGGCCAAACCCCGTGACCATGTTCCCACGGCAGCTCGGTTCTTGAATCGCCATAACATCATATCGTCCAACAAGAGCCCTCAACTCATCCGCTACAATGCGACGACGGCCCATGTTGAGCTGGAGAATGGTGATATTATTCATAGTAGGTCCTCTTAGCCACCTCATTTGACCATCTTAAGTGTACAGGGCACTCTCGGCTGCCCGCTTTATGCTTCGTTTGGCTTTGCGGTGCACTCGCCCGCACACAGTTAATACAAGTCGGGCCAGTTTGTTCCTTCTTCCTTGGACAGTCCTTGAGTATGTGTCCATTGGCTGCACACCATATGCATACAACGGTATCCACCGTACAGGTAGCCTTCGTGTGTCCATAGCCTTGGCACTTTGTGCAACGAGGGGCGTCGAGGTAATCCTTAAACGTCATGGACCACCATCCTCCATCTAAAGCTGCCATTTCCAACAGCTGGAACCTCACCATTGGGTGAACTTCGAGTACCCAGTTCCTACTTAGTCCATTCCTAGATACTGAGGATAATAATGGCCGTATATCATCATTAATGAGTGTAGTAGGGACTGACTTCTCGTTTATTCTTCCCCACAAAAATCTCGTTAATTCAGCTGAGCCCCATGAGTGAGGGACACCCCTCACCTCAATCTTAGGTTTCTTTCTTTGTGCTAGTTTTGCCTGAAAACCTTTCTCCCGTAATCCCTGCCAACCAATTATTTTAGTGGCATGGGTACTGTCTTCTAATCGGACTAAAACGGAACCACCTTTGGTTGCTCGAACAATTTCAGCCTTAACACCTATTTCTGTGGGGGAAGGCAGGGCATTGATAATGTCCACCGGACTCTTACCAGTACCGCTAATAGTAATAAACGCCGGCTTGAGGGACTGAGTAGGTTTTAAAGGCAATTTTCGTACTATTTCGGCCAATGACTTCGGCTGATTTGGACCGGACCCAGTCAAAGATTCCGCCTCTGTCTTATGCGTTTCATTTTCAGTTTGTAGGCTTTCGGGACCGGTAGACTTTTTAGTCTTTTTCCTGTTTCTTTTGCTCTTAACGACTGTAAAAGGAACTGCGGCTGGTAAAGGCTCAGGCGGGGTCACGTTATTCGCGGATGACTTTTCGTTGCTTTTTCCAGGGATGGCGAGGGCACCATTAGATTTTATAGTGGTTCCTGAGAGAGATTCTATAACCTTCGGCACTGTTTTCTCTATTACGATGCTGGTTATCATCGAATGTACTGAAGGCGAGGTAAGTGTTTCCTGAACCGCTTTATGGACAAGTAAAGATAAGCCCTCACTCTTATCTTTGTACTGCTTTGTCCTTTCCTCCAACGATTCAATAGCGTCAATGAACCACTGTATTTTGCCATTAATGTGGTTTTGGTCTTTATTTTTAATACTTTTGTCAGCTTTAGTAAGGTATATTCGGAGGTTTTCTTGAATTATCTTTGCTTTTTGAAGGAAGTCATTTGAGATTCCTACCTCAGAAGCTTCTGTGTTATCACCAAGAGAAACCTTTCTCGCCCTTTTTGCGGTTGAACGTGAAACCCTTGGAGGGTCCCCTTCTTCCCTTTCATCTCCCTCCATGTTGTCTATAATATTACTCCTGGACAAGTCTTTAAAGAGTAGACACTTAATAACTTAAATAATATTTCTTATCACTTAACAGGTTATACTTACAAATTTATTTTTTTACACAGATTTAGTAAAGTTAATTTCAGTGTGCTCCCTGGGAAGGTCTTTTAGAGATCTTCTACTCAATATAACACTCGGAACTCAAAATTTTTCAAAGAAGAACTCCTTCACGAAATTTATACTACTTAACCTCTCCTGTCCAAACTTCAATCTATTTACACTATTTACACTTACAACTAATAACAACAATAAAAAACATGATAAAACACTAGAAAACAATAAGATGGCTATGAACAATTAGAACAAAACGAAAACACAAAACACTGCCTCAAAAGATAGCTCTTAGTAGATCGCAATTAATCACAATAACCTCGCTATCACTATCACTATCGACATGTGTGTATGTGGCTAAAGTGCTCTCGACCAATCTCCGCTGGCTTTAGTACCAGTGACGCGGTTGGAAGAGTAGCGCAGGGTTCTCCTGGAGTTCCCTCGCCTGATTGTATATAGGTATGCATGTATTTTTTTTTTTTTTTTCCTTAGTTTTAATTTTCCTATTTTTTAGGTTATTTTATTTTATTGTCTATTGTATATACTTTTGATTATTATTTTGTTCTATTTATTTTATTTTTTTGTACATATGGTGTGAATGTCATCCTACCTCACTATAACCAATGTCCAACAGACAGATTGTTATAATACTCAATAAAGAAATTTAAAAATGAAATTTTGAATAAAATAAAAAAACTGCAAACCTTTATATTATAGTAACCTGGTTGTGACAAAAGTCTATTAACATATATGTTGAACATAAAATTATAATAAATTTCAAGGGACAAAATATTTTTTAAAAAATCATGAGCCAAAATTTGCATAATATATGTAAAATGAACGATTTTATAATATTGCATCATAGTAACATAATGAATTATACGTATTGACTGATTATATATATATATATATATATATATATATATATATATATATATATATATATATATATATATATATATAAATATATATACATACATTAAGAAAAGTTGTTGCACCAATTAGACAGATCCGGGAAACATCTGAAGATGGTTGGATCAGACCTCTTTGATTTTTAATGGAAACTAATAGTCCGTGATACAGGTCTCTTTTTATCAAATTATTAACATCCGGCTGTAACTTTGTAAACAGCTTCACCTCATCGTAACCTTCAAATATTTTATTTACGTAAATTCTCGGAGTTGGAGCGTTTTCAATCTGGAGATCGGCAAACTTTGTCTATTTAATTACATACTAAACACTCGTAAGTACCCATTTGCTCTCCACTTGGATTGTAAGAAAACTTGAACATCAAGTCGAGAAAAAAGGTGGGCTTGAAACATATTGAGACGTTTTGCGTGACCTCCACCTCTAAATTGTCTAGAATAACCAGGTTATATAGGCTAAACAGCCCAATAAATTTTTTAGGTCCTCTTTTTTTTTAGATTTTGTGATCAAGTTATCTTACGATCTGAGTGGAAAGCTATTGGGTATTTAGGAGTTTTTAGTACCTAATTAAATAGACCAAGTTTGCCGCCCTCCAGATCGAAAACTCCCCAATTCCGAGAATTTTCGTAAGTAAAATATTTGTAGGTTACGATGAGATGAAGCTATTTACGAAGTTTCAGGCGGATGTTAATAATTTGATAAAAAGGAGTCTGTGCCACGGACTATAAATTTTGAGATAGCTTTTTTATTTTATTATCTTACATCGCTTGGATACATTTATCGCAGTTAATATTTCAGGAAAGACTTCATACAACGTACCCCAGTTAATATCAAAAAATGTAATTGAAAGAATACATTTTTGTGTAGGTATTTAAAAAAAAAATTATGAAACAAACATGCAATGTACTCGATGAGATCCAAGACTAAATTCGAAAAAAATCGGTTCGAATAATTGTGGTTCATCTTCTTCAACATTTTCTAAATAAAATATTAAAAATATTCGCCTGAACGGACAAAAAATAATATACAATATTTGTGTAACACAATAATTGATACCATTTCCGATTAGAGTTCTTGTACTGATTACACAACAATAAATATTTTATCTCAGGATATACAATTTCATATGTAGTTCGCGCATGCGCAGAGAAATATAAACCAGTAATATTAAAAAAAAAATAGTAAAACTTTATAAAAAAATATGTCAGCTACGGCGCATTGGCAAGAACACTCGGGCATTGATCTAATATTTTTCGACCTATCATCACGAAAATGTTTCATTGAAATCAGTCACCCAACGTCCGTAATCTCTCTTCTCATACAATGTTCACCGATCTACATATTTAAATCGCCCATCATCACAAAGTTTTAGAAGGATGTCAATAATTTTATGTTGTCTACGTTATGTTCTATGTTATGTTGTCAATAAGGGGGTGTCTTACCCTAGGACTATATAGCATAAAACTGTTTTAAAAAGAATTTAAAAAAAAAAATAGATTTGCCTTGTTTTGGAATCCTTAAAGGAATAAGTAATAAGAACACATGGCCAATTTTCCTTTAATTGGGAACATAACTGAGAGAAGAGAAGAGGGTGGTGAAGGAGTTGGACGGTTGGGATGGTCCAAGATGGACTGTAGAGGGGGGAGAGTATTTTATTTCGCGGGGGGGGAGGAAGAGGTTCTTCCGACCATTCCTTCCGCAGTCATGGATCTATCCAGATTCCCGGGCCTCCACAATCTTACGGCTGGTAAGTCAAGATTCTATATAATAATAAACTTGAATTATTTTCTTATAATATATTTAGAACCGTATATCTGTAACAGCGTTTTTAAAATTTCGAGCTGCGGTCCGAAAGTTGTGAAATGATTCATGTATCGACTTGACGCAAGGAGAAACAAAAATTGGACGATTCTAATGAAAAAAAAAATCTGTGTAATTTAAAAGAAGAAGAACTTGTAAAATGAGATTAGTTGTATCCTTAAGTCTAAAACGAATCCAAAACAAAATAAGTTTAAATTTTTACTATTTTTTTTTTAAATGTATTTGCACGTTTCTGATAGATGACATTACTGAATGATTTTTTAAAGTTTTTATTTATAATTAAAAAAATGAATTGAAAAATGAACATAAATACAGATAAAAAACTACACGGTCTCTACAAACATATTGTAATGCAATTTAATAACCATTAAGGTGCCGCTAACAAATATAGTTGCACACGACACCTAAAACATACTCAAATAAATGAAAAATGAAGTAAATGCATTTCAATGATATAAATGTGGATAATAGATTGTCATGACTCCGTCAGATACTTTTGTTCTGACAATTTATTATCCTGTTATATTGTGGAGTATAAAGGAAGCATTATTATAAACTTCTATCATATATTTATTCTTTAAAAACTTTTGCAAGTTTTTAAATCTTATTTAATTATATTTTCGTTATCTCTTTCAGGCAATTGATTATGTGTCTAGAGTCAACCCACGATCATACACAACGTAGACCCATTTGTAACATTTTTTTTTTATATTTAGCAAAATAATAAAAATTGGCAATGTAAAGCAAAATAAGATTACTTGATAATTTTTTTTTTTTTTTTACCCATTTCTAAAACGGCATTTTTTAAAAATAAAATAAAAAAATTTAATCAAATGCCGGATATTTCAATGAAATAAAAATCATGGGACTATAAATAATTGTAGATTTTCCATATTTAGTTATTACAACTATATACATTTAATTATTGCAGCTCTAACTCTTGTTTTAAGAACTTTTGGTCTTTAGGTTACCTAAAAACTGTCCATGTTACATGCTTTACTTATATTTTTATTTGTAATATTCAAAATAAGTTTCTTTCCAAATGCTTCTATAAACTTTTTAAAACATTCCTTATGATGAATTTCTATAGTTTTGATATTTTTATTCAATTGAAAAATTATCAACAATCAATCGTTTGTTTTCTCTTGGTGAATGGGACCACCAAAATTGATTTGAGCTAAGAGAATGCGAATTTGAAGTGAGAACTTCCGTAGGCTTGTTTTGCACTTCTTTTGTGGAGAGTGAATTAGATTGAGTCGTCTAATCTCCGATACGCTCGGGTAAAGTCGGCTGGATTCGACTAATTGAATTTGTTTTTCAGATTGAAATATCTCGAAAACTAAAAATCGGACTTGCATATTCTTAGCGAGGAAATTTTTTATCATTTCATCCTCTTTGTAATGAACTATTATTCAAAATTGCATCTTAACGCGACGCCATGTTAGAGAAGCGAAAAGGGAAAAAATAGTGTATAAAACCAAATGATAACTTGTTTTATTGAAGATATTTATTAAAATATCTCAGAAACTAAAAATCATACCGGCATACTGTCTGTAAACGAGGGAATTGTTCAGCATTTCATCCTCTCTGTTATGGGGTATCATGCAAAATTTTATCTTAATGTGACGCCGTGTTATAGAGGCGAAAAAGAAAAAATAATATCGAAAACCAAATGATAACGAGTTTTATTGAAGATATTTATTAAAATATCTCAGAAACTAAAAATCATACCGGCATACTGTCTGTAAACGAGGGAATTGTTCAGCATTACATCCTCTCTGTTATGGGGTATCATGCAAAATTTTATCTTAATGTGACGCCGTGTTATAGAGGCGAAAAAGAGAAAATAATATCGAAAACCAAATGATAACGAGTTTTATTGAAGATATTTATTAAAATATCTCAGAAACTAAAAATAGGTACTGCTTAGTATAAGCCAGGGGAATATAGGGCATTTCATCTTCTTTATAATGAGCTATTACTTTTAATTTATATTCCATTTTTTTGTTACGTTATCACACTTCTTCAACGTTAAGCAGTTAAGGAACTGATGTGCATGATGCATATTTTTTTCTATTACAATGCATATAATACACTGCTCTATAAATCCTTCCATCAGCTACCTGTGGGATGAAGCCATATTAATTCTGTAAAAGTTCCAGAACGATTAATTCATAACAAACTTGTATTAAAAGACACTTGGTACCTGAAGAGAGCGAAGAATCAGGCTACCATGGACTGCTAGAGAAGGTTTGGCCACCGATGCGTGCCTGATCATCTTGGAAATGCGTAACTGAAGTGCACCGCAACCTATTGAAGAACTACCGGAGAACCATCCCACAAGAGGTTCTGGAATTTAGGAGTTGTGGTCCCCTTAAATAGCGTTACACCAGTAACTTATAACTTTATGAAACTTCCAACGGCGTATTCAAATGTCTCGTCATTAAGATGCCGTTCCTCGGATACAAATTAAACGCGAAGGCATTTATTGGATTCAAAATAATAGATAAATTAATTTATTTCTCAGAACATTTACTTAAAAACTGGAATCATACATGGAGTTTTTAATAACTATTAATTGTTAAATTTAATTTATAAGTAATTTGTTATTCGCAATTAATAAATTTCAATTATGCCATTTACTCTTCTTTAGGGACAAAACATTATTTATTCGTTGTAAATAACGAATACAAATATCATTAAAACGAATAGAAATAATCTATTCATTTTCGAAATAAAATTTGCCTTGTCTAAGCAACGTTTCATAAGGGATAAAGAGAAATGCAATGTAGAATTACGTGTTGTCAGACTTATTAAAGTCCACTTATTTATTTCTTATTTGGACAGTCATGTAGAATTTTTGTCATTGATTTAACAATTGGCTTGATAACTTCCGTAAATCAATCTTTAAAAAAAACAACAATCTTATTGATTCCAATATTGGCTTACCTCAAACCATATTTGTCCACAAAAACAAGTTTTTATAGACAAATTTGAAACTACAATTTTATTAGAGAAAATTATAGTTTTTATTATCTTTTTTTCTAGTTATATATTGTGATATCCCTGACATCATTAAAAGCATAACACTCGATATTATAATTATTAAAGTTAATCATTAGTTAAAAGACATTAGTATTTTGGTGAATTGAACTTGGCAAGGTTTCAGAAGTGATACCGCCGGTAACTAACAGACCCAGGATGTAATTTTTTTGGGGGGGAAGGCTTCAGACCGAAAGCTTTATATATATATATATATATATATACACAACTACGGGCGGATCTACGGGGGGGGGGGAGTTCGGGCTGAAGCCTCTCCCCCTCCCAAAATGGTAAAATATAACCATGTCTAATGGAAATTTTTATTTTTTTAAATACCTCTTAAAGTATTATTGTTCGTGTAATTACATTTAAAAGGACTTTATGAATCAATTAAACACCATTTCATATAGCTAGTTAGTTTCTTTCTGTTTTTCTAAAGTAATTATCGTTATTTTTATGAAAAAAAAAGCTTTCGGGCTGAAGCCTCCCCCCAAAATTAAATCCTGGATCCGCTAGTGCACACAACGATAATTAATTTGGAAGAAAAAGAAAGAAACTAACTATCTATAAGAAATGGTATCAAGTGATTCTAATGTAATTGAAGTCCTATCAAATGTAATTACGCGAACAATAATACTTTCAGAGATAGTTTTTTCATAATACATCGTTATATTTTACCATTTTGGGAGAGAGAGGAGCTTCAGCTCAAAAGTCCCCTCCTCCTCCGTAGATCCATCTGCACATGTGATAATAATATGTACTTATAAGATTTTATTGAGTAAGCTACTTCTTTTCTCTATGTTGACATCCTTGAATCTTAGTCAGAGGCGAAACAAGACAACTGTAAATACGTTTGAATGAATAGGATATAAATTTGAGAGTTTTTTTCGATTATTATGCTGAGGAATTTTTTTCATTTTAAAATCTTTGAGTTGAAATATTCTAAGACAGTTTATTCCGCTCTTGCTCCTAGTGATAATTATGTTAGGGAACAATGGACCAGCCTGACAAGAACAAAAGAGGTGATAATTTGGAAATCGCTCTATCCTCAAATTCTTGTTGTAAAGATGCAATATTCCCTCCTCATGGCAGTTACTCATGTTTTTTGACAGTATTGCCAATATATTTTCTCATTAAAAAAAAAAAAATCGTACAACCTTTTTTAGAAACTGGGTGCTAGATGCTTTGAATATTATAATATTAATATTGAATATTATATTCGACAAACAATCAAAATACAAATAAATTGAAAATCAACAGTATTGAATGCAATAAAAATTGTTTCTACCACACGATCACATGATTAGGTTTCCTTGTATAACATTGTATCCAATATTTGGTTCTAATCGTCTGATGTTTCTGAACTGAAATTAAATCTACAAATACACGTAAGAAAGTGAGGGCTTTCGAACCTCTTCTTTTTGAAATTGAAACTTGAAACCTCTTCCCTATCACTCTCCCCTCCTCCCACCCTCCTCCAAAAAAAAAAAAGAAAATAATTCTCTGAGGATAATAACGTCGTTTTATTTAGATGGTAGTGTACGATCTTAATCCCAATATTAACTAATTTTCATACTTAACATTTTGGTAAATATGTGTTTAAACATTTTTGTCTTCCATTTCGGAGAACATTTGTACAGTTCCTTTAAGATTAACCTGAAATTGTTACTGTTCTGTCTACTTGTTACCAGAAGGGTCTTTTTGTTTTATATATATATGTCTTTTTATATTTGTTTTTCTACAAATTTCTTCAGTATTTTGAAATTTTGAATAACTTGTTTAATGAAAAAATAATACATTTAAAAAAATCATCATTAAAGTCGATAGACAGGTTATAGCGCCTCTGCTCAGCCTTCATCGTTCCTTAATACCAGTGATGCGGCTGAGTGAGAGGCGCTGGTATCTCCTAGAGTCATGCCTTTTCTTCCACGACTGGGGGAAAAGGCTGGATTCGGAGATCTTGTGTGAATGGATTTTGTAAAAATTGTATGAAATCATGTGTATATTTAAGTAGTTATTTTGGTTAATTTGGTTTCTTTTTGTTTAGTTTAGTTTCTTTTTGTTTATATACTTACGTGTACATGGAGTGTGAATGAACTACTCTTATATCACTAGGGACTTTGGATGTGACAGATTGTAATATTTCTCAATAAATAATTGATCTCCTTAAAAAAACAAAACAATATAAGTCAGATTAAGAAGCACACATTTTCCAAACAGTAAATAACACTAACTTTATTAAATTTAATATTGTTTTAATATAAAAAATATTGGATTGTTTTATATAAATAATCATTTTATTCATTGAAAGGAACAATGAACAATCATGTTGTCTGTTAGAGTCATTCTCAAAATATATTTTCGATTATGGGTCATTGACCTAAAACCTTACAAGGCAATGGTAATTTGTCATTTTGGAAAAGTATGCCACAGTGCAGCATCGTTGAACTGTACGGTACCATATCTCACAGCAAATTTCCTCTGACATTTCGGGAACGACTCAGCAATCGTGCCCCTCTTCAATCAATAACACCACCGCAGACATAACGATTCAGAAGTGACGAAGACGTAGCCAGTGTTTTAACCGTGCGGCGTGGAAGAGATTGTGCTTCATCAAGGCAGGCACGGATCTGTCGAATCATATCGTTAGTCATACCGTTGATGTAGGTTAATGTTACAGTACGCGGGGGAGTTCGTTCATTTAAAACCTTAGCGAATCTGGCTTTGAACATTATAGCGATATCGAATTGACCACATCAACATTTATGATGTTTGGTCGTGAAATGGTTGTGAACCCATGCCCCTCTTTGGAATTTAATGATACACATGTATTTTTCTGGAAACATAATTCTTCATCTACTACAGATATTAAACTACTTTCAATAAAGCAGTTTTATTTAAATGATCAGTACTCTCGTTCTTTTATATTCAAAACATTTATATTATTCAAATTGTAGCTGAGTATGTCACAAAGGATTCTAGCACAGAAATCGTAACTGAAGGATTATAAAATAAATTACAACAGCTGAACTCGAACTTGTGGCCAGAAATTTTTTGTGTGTGTTTTTTGTCGTTAGTGACTGGACACTTTGAAACAAATGAATATTTTTTGAATTCATGTATTCATGAACCCCTTGTTTTTTTTTCTGCAGGAATTAAAGACCATGTAGATCTTTTGCCGCCTTAACAAGCCTGCTCCATCTCTGTCTGTTTTGGACTATTTGTTTCCATTTATCTACGCTCAGCTCTTTGGCATCTTTGTTGATTCCATCTATCCATCTGCTTTTTGGCCTTCCACGTGGTCTTTTGCCTTCTATTGAGGCATTCATTGTTACTTAGAGGCTTGTAGGTGGATTGCTACGAGTTACATGCATCTTAACCTCCGTGTCTTCATATCATGAGGTATTGATTGACCTGTTTCTGTGAGCAGTTTTTTTATCGGTCTTTCTTCTCCGTGTGTTAGTACTCAGATTCCAGATCGCTCCGGTTATGGTGCGGAGGATTTTTCTTTCAAATCTTTCAAAAATTTTTTGTAGGGGGCTTGTTAGTGGTCAGCTCTCACAGCCTTATATTAGAACTGGCTTTATCAGAGCATTTTACACCCTTAGTTTGAGATTTCTTGAGATTTTTCGTGATTTCAATACCTTTGAAAGGGAGATACTATTTACTAGCTTAATAATTTGGGAAGCCTCGCTTTCCCTCCACATGTGGGGGGACAAGTATGGTTCGGAGTTCCCACGGCCGATTGTAAATAGTGTAAATAGGTATGCCTGCGTCTAAGATGTTTACTTATTTTTTTTTTTTAAAGATAATTTTAATTCTATTTTATTCATTTATTTTTATTCTATTATTACTATTATTTATATTTTCTTCCTTCACTATGATATTTTATTTTATTCTTATTTAGCTTTATATTATTTTAAAGTTACCTTATTTATTTATTTTTTTTAATTTGTAAATATGGTGTGAATGTGCTCTCAGAACTCTATTATAAATGTCCTTTATTGAGACAGATTGTAATATTTATCAATATACAAATAATCCAAAAAATTTGGAATTAGCAAAGTAGACTATTTCTAGAAAATAATGATTGTAGTTATACTTGAGCCCACAGAAAGAAACTAAGTCGAGATATCTTACGTTTTTAAACATTGGGATGGAGATGATAAATCATTATTGTTACAAGGTTATGATCAACATCAGAAAAATATGCACCATTATTTTTCTCATTTTATTGTAGTTATGACTGGGCCAGACAATACTCTGAGACAGGAACGACTACTGGGTGACAGTACAATAAACATAATATTCTTAAATGATACTGTCATTAAACCATATCCAATGGCTCACCTACTGCCCTGGTCTGCCTCACATTATGTCCCAGACATGACATTCCTCCGTAACGGTCTGTTTGTCACCAACATGATCTTGATGAACTGTGACCGTCTTTGGATCCGCAAGTTCTGGGAGAGTGTATCCGTTCAACCGTTAGGACAAACCTTTTTTTATTATATTATATATATATAAAAAAAAAATTCAACGTGTATCGTTACACCACTGCTATATTCAGTTCTTTTCTTAGATAATATAATAACGTTTCTCGTAGCATCGTGAAAATAAAATGTATGTCTCAAAATTAGAAGAAATCATCGTCATTCATACCATTAAAGATCTCTGTACTAAAAAATAATAATGCACAAGCGATATCATTATGATATTATTTATGACTACAAAGTTTATGATTTATAAAGATAATACACACTTCCATACGGCTGCAAAGCTACCTGAACTGTATAATAAACTGAAAATTCACCATTGTTCAGTCAGAAGATCAATTCATAATTTTTTTTTCTTGTGTTATATAACCCTACATTCCTACAAATTTAATGAAAGATGTTATTCTTTGGTTTCAGAGCCCAAAGTCCTGGAGCACTTTCCTCCGTTGATGGTTGATCACCACCATGTGTTCATCGTCATCACATTTTATCTGGTCGCGGTCAAGGTCTTCGGGCCATGGCTGATGAACGACAGGAAACCTTTGGAACTGAAGAAGCCGATAATGGTTTATAATATTTTTCAAATTCTCATGAATACTCATCTTTTTTATCTTGTAAGTGTCGTATTTTAACAAAATGTATTATCTTTAATGTTTTGTGTGAAATTGAACGTCAATGGATCACATTGTATATGTTCATGTACTTTTTTGTAATCCAGTTTTATACTTTGAAACGTTGTAAATTGTTTCACAATGGTTTATTGTTTCCAAACAATTATACATCTAACAATACCTTCCTCGTGACAAAGAAAAAGTAATAAAAGGTGATTCCAATTATCGCCCTAAATATTTCTTTTTTTTTTTAATCAATGGTAATTTGCTTAAAAAAAAAGTAGCATTACTTCAGTAACAAATTCAAAAACCAAAACAAAAGATATATATATATATATATATATATATATATATATATATATATATAAAATAAATAAATAAAAAAAAAATCCTCATATATATATATATATATATATATATATATATATATATATATATATATATATATATATATATGCGGATTTTTTTTTAGGAGATTTCGTAAACTTCTAAATAACCATCGTTTAGGCGCTACAGTATAGTAATACAATAGTAAGTATAGCAACACAGTTTTTTCGGTCGCCATCTTGAAAGCAAAAGGCGGATAGTAATGTCGATGAAGGAGGATCATGCTCGGGTGACTTCTGATTTTAAATCCAAATATAAAAAAAATCGGTCCAGTAGTTTCGGAGAAAATGAGCGGACGGCGGACGGACAAAATAATTTTTATTCGTTTTTCGAATTCTACGTATCCTGAAACGTAAAACCTCAAATTTTGAAAGGGGTTGAAGTTTTTTAATATTTTGTTCGATTACAATGGTTAATTATTGAAAATTATAAACTAATAAAAAATCTAGAAAAAAAAATATTTTTTTATAATTTGAAATTCATAAGCGACCCAAGTAAAGTGAAACAATTTTATTATTTGGGAACCATAATTGAATCTAATGGTAGAGCAGAGACAGAAATAAAAAAAAAAGGATCACAATTGGTAGAACAGTTATGGGAATATTTAACTGTTTACTCTGGAGTAGCAATATTCTAATAAAAACGAAAACGTTAATATATAAAGCTTTAGTAGATAGATTAATGATATATGGTTCGGAGACATTGCCCCTCAGTATGACCCAGGGAAAAAATTGTCTTTCAGTTGAAAGGGATGGAGAGCAGCTAGGATATCAAGAATCGAAAGGGTAAGAAACGCCACGATAAAGCAGAAACTGGAAATAAAACAAAATACCCTAGAGGTAATGGAAGAAAAGAGACTGGTACGGCCATGTGACACGAATGGGTGAAGATAGAACACCGAAAATAATTATGGATTGGGAGGCAGAGGGTAGAAGAAGGAGAGGAAGACCCCCAGTTAGATGGAAGGCAGGGGTGCCTAGAAGGGGGTTTTATGGTGCAAGTTGCGTCATCAAAATTTTTGAGAGGGTTTATTTGAAAGGGTTTATTTACGTTTGAATTTTTGAGTGAAGACGAATTTCGACGGGTTTTGAATTTTCGAAATAAGGAGCAAGGAAAAAATATGGAACAGACCGCAGCCAGTGTATATGATTTACAATTTTTATAATCTTAGCTTGCTCTGATGTTAAGAAAAGATGAGCAGTAAAATATTTTCGGTGGATGGGGGGAGGGAGGTTCTTGCGCTATCGACCTTGATGGAGATGGACATCCCTGATGAATGAGTGGCAGAGAGTATGGCTGGTATGGAACTGTCGGAGGACGCGATGGATCGGCAGAGATGGAGAGATTTGGAGAAACAGAAGTTTGGCTGAGGAAAACTTTATACTGAAGTTCTTATGGGAAAAAAAAATTCTAAAAGCAAATGTTTAATAAAAAACAATATCAAGCAATGAATAAACGTCGTGCGGGTCAACTAAAACATAGATGGTAGGGTTGTGTTAGGCCCAATCTTAAGGAATTGGATTTGATGGATTCCAGTGGGAAATGTATGTTGGTTAGATGTTGGGTAGTACCCCATGTTACTCTAAAAATGTTTAATATATCTGTTTGTATTATATATTATATTATATATATATAATATATATTTATATATATATATATATATATTTATATATATATATTTATTTGTTGGTATAGAATAAAATTGCTTGAGTGACAACTTTAAAAAAGAGGAAAAATAAAATAATTATTATTATGTTCAAAACATGAACCAAGATTAGATTCAGCTCCGTTACTCCCGCACCAAATCAAGGAATTGCACCGTCAATTCTCTTAGCCATCACCCTCACGCGTCGAGGGCTCAGAACGCCGAGATTCATAAAAAATCTTTTTAAATTATCTCATTTTTTATGAAAACTTTTTTTTGCTATTACCTTGTCTTTTGTAGCAGAAGCGGGATTGTTCTAGAGATAGGACAAAACCTATTCTAACCAGAGTGAGAAGATCGAGATTCATTCCGTTGGTCCGCCAAGAAATAAATTTTAACCAGCCCAGGCCGGATTAGTCCCGGCGCTGCTAGATTCGAGAATGTTAAAACGGGCAAGAACTTTAAAGGTTCGGCTAGAAAGTCCTCATCTTCATAACAGCCAATCATCATTAAATTTATTTTGTTATTCCGATAATTATATATATATACTTAACAGGTAATAATATATCATTTCAGCCAGAACTCTAATCATGCGAATTTTGGCTGAAACTGTTTCTAAACTTAATTATATATGTTATATACTTTGGCCTAAGATCTGTTGTTTCTTAACACCTTCAACATAAAATTAATTTATTATATTTAACAGATTAACGTTTAATACTGCAGGCTTTTTCAAGAAAAACTTTAACTTGTTAGAGAACATTGAGATGGATATTAGTGAGTCATTATCAATATTTTTACGGAAGAACTCAAAGAAAGTACATGAAAATGCGAATTCGGGCTTTTATCGTCACAGAAATGAAACTATTGTTGCTCAATTCAAAATACATACCACCGTTAAGGTCACTCTAGATTAAACATTAAAAACCGGAAATGTTTTATTGCAATAATATTCAATAGAAAGAATCATTGGCAAATTTTTATTTTAGTAAAGGTATAGAAGAAGATTGTTTCATTGCACAAGTTGCTTACACCATTATTGTAAACACATTATGCTCAAGTGTAAATATCAACAAACAATCTAACTCGTAAGAGATATGTTAGTTAGTACAATAGAATACAATTAGACTGCTTTGAGTTGTAACACGTGTTGAGTGATTATTAGTTATGACTAACGCTAAAAAGGTAAGGTTTAGTAAAGACAATGGACCTGTGATTAAAGTTTTAATGTTCATATTTTTTTAATTTAAGATATTATGTAAAGAGTTTTTGTAGCATTATTTATATCCCCAATGGACAATATCCATCGTTTCAATTTCAGCATACTTAACCAACAAGTGAGCCCAGCAAAGCTTGGATTTGAGCATATGAAAGTCCGGAAGTTGCTGGAGATGCCGTGGTTGCCACAGGAGCTGCTTGCGAAGCTGCTAACAGATTCAATAACTGCTGCAGTTGAGCTTGGTTGACTGTTGCAGGGTTGGTCGCTGGAGCCTGCGCGGTTCCTAAGGTACCAAGTAAACTTTGTAGCGCTTGTAGGTTCGGGACTGCAGCTTGAGTGGGTGCTGCCTGCGGGATGACCTGTGAAGCCAATGTCCCGAGCAAACCTTGCAGCTGGCTCAGCAGTTGGCTGGTTGTAGCAGCTGGTGCTGGAGCCGCAGCCGGAACGCTCACCGGTATCGCTACTGGTAATATATGGTGAGGGCCACATGGGCGTCCACCTCCTGGTCGCATTGGTGGTCCGTACGGGCCGCGGAACTGCGGAGCGGCTTGGGAGACAGCGACGAAGCCTAACAAGGCGATGAGTACAGCAGCGGACGTCATAGTTACGGCTCAAGGACAGACTTCAATCAACGACTGGTGGTCTATTTAAAATAGGACAGGATTTAATAAATAGGCGCAGCAGTTTATATATCTGATCACGGCTACGAGGAGGGGGTTGTGATTGAACAGGTGTCTCGTTTGAATAGTGATTGCAGTATACATGGGTTCATTAGTTGAACTAAAATTGTAATGAGGCGGAAATAAGCAAAAGTGTTTTTGTTGTTTGTATCTTATTTACTCCAACTTACGTCCGTAGTCAATATTTGACAACTTCTTGGATATTCTGTATCTACTTACAGTAGGTGTATAGTTATTACTCGTGTTAATATTTCGAACTTCTCTACCATTTTGAACAGACATTCAGTATACTATTTTGAGACCTACTATAGTAAAAATACTTTTAGTTTTTAGGTGTAGTGGTTGAGAGTTTAGAGACAGTATATCTGCATTAGATTGCTATCTTGCCTCTCCTGCTAACTTCGCATCTCAATAAACAAATTTCTTAAGTAATCATTTTCTTATATATATTTTTATATATATTTAGTAATATATGTTTATATATATTTTTTTTATTCCTGTAAAGAAGTTAACACTTAATACACAAACTCATCGTAGAATTCAATAAAGTGATATTTTCGAGATAATGCATTTTCTAAAATACTCAATTTCAATTCAACATATACAGTAGACTTTTCTTGAAAAACAATATCGACTTTAATAAACAACTCTGTTTTTACAACAATCCCTTCCTTTTCTGATTGGTTGAAATACTGCTCTAGAAAACAATATTTATGAATTTTGTTACTTGACCTATGCTGGTTAATGGGAGGAAAACATTCATGGCTCTGCTCAATATAACAGGAGTCTTGGATATTTTTATATGGAGCACATTATACAAATTATGTGCTTACCATTCAGCAATTATTTTGAAAATTTTTATAGCAGTGTAGTTGCATAAATTTTAGCAATATGTTACACAATTGTAATGAAAGTAAACCAATAGCTTATGAAACTTGTCAATTCTAATAAACACTGGATGATCCTACAACCAAAGGTAATTGGGAGTTTAGTCAAGAAGGCTTATGACAAACATTCAAGCAAGAACATTGTTTGTTCCACAAATCAAAAATCAAACTTTGAGACAGAAATAAAAAGAGCGTCTCCTTCTGACTCTTCTTTGTCTAGGATGGTTTGGTGCACCATGCAGCCAACATATCCTTTTCAGAAGAACTTACGTCCACTATTTTAAGCAAATGACAATCATTTTCTCCACTTCAGTCCAATTCAACAAAAATACCTATTAATACTTTTAAAATGGTGTAGTTGAAACATTAAGGTACATCATTTACAAACATAAAAACATTTTCTGTGTTTTCTTCTATTTGCTAATTGACATTGTTTGTTTAATCATATATATTTTTTTTTCAGTATAGTTTAATCATGGGACGCCGTGTTGTTGATTTTTGGGGTAACGTCTGTCATCCTGCCACTATTGACAATAGCTACGATCCCAAAATTCAATCAATAGTGAGTAATAATTATTATTAAATTCAATACTCCTAAGTTACCATTTACTTTTATTATATTTAACAATAAATAATAAATTAGTATTGGTTAGGTACCTAAATTCTAATCTCAGAATTCCTTTTCAATTATGTCAGTAAAGAAACTATATCAACTACGGTAAAACTCGCAGTTTTCAGCACCCTAGGGGAAACTTTAAAATGTGTTTTCAATCGTGTGGGTGGGTACTTGATTCAACAATTTCGGTTCTGTTAAGTCAGTAAAGATCTCTAAGTTCAAAATATATACTCGAAACAGTGTTTCTCATTAATTTTTTTTTATAGTAAAACGGAAAAATTTAAAAATATCTACAGGGGCCAGTTTTCAGGACCCCTTACCCAAATTTCAAAAACCTAAAGAATTAAATCTAGCAGCCTTTAGAATGAAAGAACCACTATGATATTGTGCAGGAATGTGTGTTCCTTGCCAAAAACGTAAGACACCTTCTTTCTGGGCAACACCAGTCTGGTTCCTAATCTTCAACGATTTTTCGACATATAAATCATTAAATAAATGGCGGGAGATGCTAGAATATGAGAACGCACTAGAGACTCACGCTTCTAATGAGCGCATTTCAGTAGTTACAGACCATTCCCGCTTAATATTCTTCAAGAAGTGCAAAGAGCGCCAAAATCGGACTGGAATGCTGACAACTGGGAGCTTTATACTATTTACCTAATTGTTTCTTTTAATTTGTTGAAAACGCATTATTATATCCAGTTTGAATTTTGAATACCGTAAATAAAATGACATCATAGATAAGCTAACTTTTAAAAAATTATATTTTATTTTTGCCCTATAATATGTTTAAAAAATATTGGATCTTTTTCAGATACTGGAAGCAAATTACTATTACTACTTAAATAAAATACTTGATCTCCTCGACACAGTAAGTAAGGCCCCCTTCAGTTAGATAAGTTGGTTATATTACTTAAGATAAACTTTATTGTTTAATTTGTTTAGATTTTTTTTACATTGAGGAAAAAGCAATCACAAATTACATTTCTTCATTTATTTCACCACACCACGATGGTTTTCAGTACTTGGCTGACTATTATTCACATCAGAGGTAATTTAAAATATTTATGTTTAACTAATAAAAGTAACATACTATCTATCATTTGTAATTTTTTTCCCATACGAATGCTGACTTCGACTTTTTAAGACGTGAGTCTTCTTCAGCAACTTGGGCCTGTATAGGCGACAGTAGTGATCGTGTAATTTTTTTTTTTTATCTTTGAATATTAATCTGCAGCTGTCGACAACTGTTAACAATCAGCAAATGGTCTGATAGAAGTAATGAAACTGACATGTCAGGCATGGAGAAGGATAGCACCAAGCAATACCTCTCCCCTGGCTTGAATCAATTACCATGATTTGTCAACAAATTATTTAAAATGAAAATTTTTTTTTTTATATTACATTATATTTGCAACTGCGTTGCAACGCATCAAGCAAATGTGCTGTTTGTTTCGTCTGCTATATCTTGAAAATTATTTACATTGTGAGCAGATTCCGAGGCCACTGCCGTTTTAGTCTTCTGTGAGGCTCTACAGGTAGCAGGGAGGAAGAAAGAGAGATAACAATTGGATTCTTCTTCTTCATGGGCGCTACAGCTCATCGCTGAGTCTTGGCGTCCTCAATTAGTCTCACCCACTGGTCTCTCTCCTTGCAGCTCTCCTCCAGTTAGTCCAAGAAGAGCTTTACCATCCGCCTCGATTTAGGTCCATCCAGCGCAATCTAGTTCTTTCAACTATTCTTTTTCTTTCTGGACGCGTCAGCATAATTTTGCTGGTTGGGCTATTCTCATCCATCCTGGCTACATTAATCGCCCATTTTAAACGCTGTATTCTAATGAACCGGACTACATCCGTATCATTATACATGACGCCCTGTTCTGCATTACTCCGCCTTCTCCAATCGTTCCCTGAGCGTATTGGTCCATAAATGCGAAGTAGTACTTTTCTTTCAAAGACCAAAAGCTTGTTTTCGTCTGTTTTGTAGAAGATCCACGTTTCCGCTCCATATATAAGGACAGGACGAATCAGCGTCTAGTACAGAGTTGCTTTTGTTTTCCTAAACATTAAGCAATTACTTAGATACCACCACAGGCCAAAATAACATTTATTTGCCGCCAGGATCCTCTTAGATATTTCTTCTGACACATCGTTGTTGGCATTTACTTGGAGTCCAAATAAACAAATCATTGGACCGTTTCGATTGTGTAGCCACCAATCGAGATCTGTGGATGTGGTGCATTTATGCCAACACCCATATACTTGGTTTTGCTCTCATTTATAGACAGTCCCATATTCCGCGCAGACTGTTCGAGAGCCAGAAAAGCCTCCTTTATGTCGCGACGTGATCTCCCGATGATATCAATATTATCTACGTATGCCAGGATTTGTATTGACTTGTTAAAGATGAACTCACCCAGCTGTATTCAACTTTTTCAAGTGCTACATTAAACAGGAAGCAGGCCAACGAGTCTCCCTGATTTACCCATTTTCTTGTACAGAACTGCTCTGACACCCCAGCATGGATTCTCACTTTACATTCCACCGTGTTGATTGTAAGTCGAACTAGGCGGATTAGTTATTTAGGAAACTTCAGTACATACATCGCATTATAGAGTTGATCTCTGTTAATGCTGTCATAGGCTGCCTTAAAATCGATGAATAGGTGATATGTTGGCTGTGAATAATCTCTTCCTTTCTAGAGAATCATTCTGAGAGAGAAGATCGGTCGGAGTCACCAATTGCTGTCTCGGCGAACGGGAGAAACAAGATGATCGAAAAGATCTTGTACACAGTTGGGAGGAGAGAGATTCCTCTGTAATTATTGCAGTAATGCTGACCGTCTTTTTTATGAATAGGACAGAAAATAGTTCTCCTCCAGCCAGACTAATAGGATCAGTTTATGTACCACTAAGGGTACCTCCCCCATACTTCAATAGCTCAGCTTGGTATGTCATCTTGGCCTGGTGCTTTATTGTTTTTTATCCTTTCGATAGCGTCAGTGATCTCATCGTCATCGGGGGGTCCAAGCTCAACATCTGTTGTCCGAGTTATAATAAAGGTTCTAGTGCCTTCTACCGATCCTTCTGCTTCATGATTGCCATTCAGGAGTTAATCAAAATACTGTTTCAATCTAGCCAATATTTGACCTGATTCAGTTAGAACGGATTCATCCTGGTCTCTGCAAGTATCAAGCCTTGTCTTTAATGGCTTCCTTCCCGTATTAACTTTCTGGAAGAATTTTCTGATCTGATTATCAAATCTGAGGCTTTCTATCGACGCAATCTTATCACTCTCCCATTTCCTCTTCTTCCCTATTCAGTCGGCGGCACTTTTCGAGAGAGCTATAAACCGCTTTCTGAATGTGTAAGAAAATCGCTGAGAAGTATTCTTTTTTCTCGAAAGCGACTGAGATAGCGTTCACTGTACGATGGCACTGTTGTACGGTGGGATGGTACGAACGAAAGTCAAATTGGTGTTTCCGTATAACTTCATGGCTTTTAACGATTGGCTTTATAAAATTAATTTTATGATTGATAATTTTAATCTTGATTTTATTTTTTTCAGATGAAGTTAGCGTAATCTTTGCTGGCTTGAATTCTGCAGTTCATATTGTTATGTATGTTTACTACTTCCTATCAAGTCTAGGACCAGACATGCAGAAATATCTGTGGTGGAAGAAATATATAACTAGTCTACAAATAGTAAGTATTTATTTTTATAATTTGAAAATAACTTAAAAACAAAAATGTTACCACACAGCCCTATCAAAGATGTCTTTCTTGCTTATACATCTGTCATACCCTCTTCTAATTGTTCTATTCATCCTACATGTGAAAACACCAGCTTAATTTAAAAGTTTTTTCAAAGAACTTTAAATTATGTTTAATTAATTATTAAATTATTCAGTTATGAGAAAAATATTGACATAATTTTAAATTATATTCTTCTTTCCATCTAACAGCAGTCATCCCCCTGTTAGAAAGCCCCTAATACATTAACCACTGACTAGAGTCTTGAACAATACATCCTAGAGATTCATTGAAGTCAGTTCAAGAGTTAAGGAAGTTCATGGAAATTGTGGTTGACAACATTTTAAATCGTTATAGGTCATAAAGATGTACTGAATTCTCCGTTATCTTTGCATCAATATTTATTACATGAAAGATGTACAGCTCAGTTCAAAATTCTGAATAGTTGTGTCCATTGTATCTGAGATTTTTGCCTTTAATGACTGTGATGTGAGTCCCACATAAATCTTTTGTCTAATGTTAGTTGAAACATCAATGCTGTTGATTCCTTATAGTTATTTTAAGTTCTTTGAATTTGGTGTTTGAAATATTTTGTGATATCCTATCTGAAGGACCAAAAAGGTTCAAGAACTGTTTTATAAATGAGCACTTTGGTTTACAAGCAGTAATGCTTGAGATTCCATATATATTATTTGGCTGAACATTTGTTAAGTTACAGTATAAAATTTAATCTTTCAAATTTTAGTAACTACTGATATAATTGATCTCTCAAACTATATTTTTATTAAACAATATTTTATTATTTATTATATTTTAGATTATTTTATATTTTATTTGTTTAATATTTGTATAACTCGTTCAGTAAAAATTTACTCTTTTTCAGGGTCAATTTTTAATAGCACTTAGTGTGTTGATAAAAATGAAACTTATTAATTGCAAGAACAATAATCAGTGGTTCTGGCTCCTATGGACATGTAATCTTGGTGTTTTTCTTGCACTGTTCCTTAATTTTTATGTGAAGTCATATATTAAGAAAAAACAAATGTAATATCTTAAGTTATTTAGTATAAACTAATTCTAAGCACAAATGCTGTGATCTCAAAGAAATTAACTTATTTTTATACTTTATTTATTTCATTTTGGAACAGCATTCTTTTGTTTTTTTTCTTCAATTAAATTTAGTTACTTCTCCTCATTCACCACTGAATAATGCGTAAGACAGCATAAGACATATTTAATAAGGTTGTGCTATCATAATAAGGAAGAAACTTGTGATTAATAAAGATTAAAAGTATTCTTTAAACATTTTAAAGAAACTAAAACACACATATAGCACATGTAAATTTAGAATGAACAAATATATAGTGTTTTTTTTATTTAATTTAGCTTTAGTTTTAGTAACTGAAGTTTTGATTCTGTGATAGTAATATTTCGCTTTAATTAACATTATAACTTATTAATAAAAATGATGAACTATTTTATTTTACTTTTAAAAAACAAATTTTAATTTAGAAAAAGAAAGTTTAACCCTAAAATATTTTGAGCAGTTAATTTATTATGAATTGAAATATCAATTATTTTACTCCTCATTTTTTGTCACATAACATTAGAAAGTCATAAATCAATTATTCTAATCCTGATTTCTAAAATGTTTATTCTTAATTATTATTAATTTTTAGACAATTTATGACTTTAATCTAGAAATATTGGTTAATTCTAAATATATGTATGTTGAAAGATGATATGTATGAATTGCATAGGACACTAAAACAATATTTTTTGTTAATATAAAGTGTGTAATGTTTATTCTTTATACAATATTTCATCGTTTTGTGTATTAGCATAATTTCATCAATTCATTAATCATGGTTCAATTACTTTGAATAAACAGTTTCAAGGGTTCCATTACAATTCAGTCATATGAAATTGAAAATTAGTTAACTATTTAAACAAAATACGATCCTTACAAAACAAATAATCACATATTATTCAACCTTTTTCTTCCTGTAAGATTTTATATAAAAGTGTAAAAAGAGAATAAAGAAAGATGAGATATTAAAACACCACAAAGTCCAAAACCAAGGGCTGATTGTGCAGCTAACCATCTTCATTTTTGCCAGTATTGCTAACATCATTATGAATTGTAGCTGAAAAAATATAATATTAAAACAGATTATTGGTAAATCTTATCATGTCCATCTACTCAGTAGTAATTGGACCAGAGGTTGAAATGTACACTTTACTGCTTCAGTTGCAGTACCCATACCCAAGCAGCATATCTTTATAATCCAGATTCCTGAAATGATTCGGTATAATAGCAGGCTTTGCGTTATTAGGCCTCCTGAAAGTCCCTTTTATCATTGACATTAGTAAATTTAATCACTGTTTTCAGGGGTGCCCATCTCCCTCTCCCCCTCCCTAAGGTCGATGGCACAAAATTCTACCCTCCCCCCTTCCTCCCAAGATATTTTGTTGCTCACTGTTTCTTAAAAACAGTTAGTCCGAAAATTCATAACTCCATCAAAATTTTCCTCCCTAAAAAATTCAAAAATTCGTCAAACTATGTTCCCCCCTCAAAAATTTTGATGGCGCATCTTGCCATGATACCCCCTTCTGTGCACCCCTGACTGTTTTTCTCAAAGAAAATGTGTCTACTTTATGATTGTGTACTTAAAATTTAATTATCATGAACAGTTTTTGAGAAATTTTTTGTTGAGAAGAACCGAGTACTTTATGAAATGAGTATATACACTCATACAATTTTAAGTTGTTCATACATTACCTAAAAACGCTTATGAAAAAACTAACAAAAATAACTGAAAATTTTCATTAATTGAAGTAGAAATACTTTACCATTTGCATTCTTGTTAGATGTTTCTTCCACCATAAATATCTTTGCATAGATGGTCCAAATGATGACAAAAAGTAGTATGAATACATCAAAATATGCACTGCAATGTTGAGAAAACCAAAAAGAGATCCGACTTGCTCTGTAACAAGATGGTCATCAATCATTGTAATCATCAGGACACAAAAAAGTAGAGAAATTGTATTGCGTTTTCCTGAGGAATTCATCAATTCATTTATTTGAAACAATAAGATATTGATCTTTCACTGTATTGTCTAAGGAAAATTGACAATTTTACGCTGTACATGTTCACAAGCTGGGCCATAAACAATCCGGAAAAGCCATCTCTGCTATATGAATACTTTCTTACTGACTCCTTAGGTAGAACCATAGGTTACTAAGGGTTGAATGGCTTCCTCATGCGCTATGATCCTGATCTTGTGAGATAGAAATCCATGAAATATTAGTTTCCATCCTGAGGTTCGATCCTGAGGCCGAGAGACCTTCCTGGTGGGATGCACCCAGCCTCTATAAAGTGGGAAACTATAATTAAATATCTAATTAAGGGGCAAAACCTGGCGTTTGAGCATGATCTCGGCCCAATCACCTCCCTGCACAACCTTTGGCCTAGTTACAGTACTTCCTCATATTGAGCTGAACCCAGAACTTTTTTTTTTTTATTACGTCCTCAACAGAAGGCAGATGTTATGTCATGCTGTTACAAAAATTCTCGGATTGTTTTTATGAGATAATGGATAATCTTGTCTAAGCTCATCTCTGACCTCAAACTCTCGAAGATGTTTTTAGGTAATATGCTTTGTTGGTGGTTTATCTTGTTGGTGTAGCCCTGGTGTAGGTCTAAAACTTGGGCCAAAAAGTTTGAATAAAATATATATATATTTTTTTTCTCTGGGACTGCAACCTCCAATTAACTTTCCAGCCATATTGTTTTTTTATAATTGTCGCAGTTTCATTTTTCTCCTTTGGTTTTTTTAATGGGTGTGTAACAAAAGTGTTTCATTTTTTTTTAGCAATTGATAATAATTGATAAGTCGTTAATCACTTTAATTTAATGAAGTTTCTTTGCAATTCTTCGCCATTTCTGCGTCTTTACGATACAGCCTAGAGGGCTTCTATTATATTTGAGGGCACCAACAAATCTTAGTAAGTTTGAGGTTCCAGATTATTGTTCAAGTACAAACAACCACAATTATTATTCAAAAATAATTCTTTAAAAAAAATTTGATATATTTTTTGAGGCAGCTGATATCAAAATTATTTAATATAGTTTAATTGTTCTGGTTATTTTCTTCTTATTTTATGAAACACGACACTTACAAATAATATGAAAATACATAAACAAAGTTGTGTACCTCTTAAATAAACAACCGTTATCCACGTGCTTAATATCATAGTTGAGTGATGAAACAAATGCAGAAAAGTGACGTGCGATTGCTTTTTCCGCAATACAAAAAATACCTGTAATGAAAAAAAATCACGTAAATAATAACAAATGAACAATTTATTAATTTAAAATGATAAGGTATGAATCACTTACTGTGTCTAAAAGATCTAAAATTTTGTTAAGATAATAATAGTACATCACTTTTAACATCTGAAATAGGAACAGACAAATTGTTGAATTAACTTGTTTATAGATATGAAATAAAACAGTTTTATTGTTATCGGTTATTATATGGTTGATATTGTTTAAGGATCTATTCAGTGACGGCTTTAGGGTGGGGTAACTGGAACTCTCCACTTGTTAGAAATACAAAAAATAATACATAACGTATTAAAATAATTAATTTTAGACTATCAATAAAGCGACTATATTAGAGAAATGCTGAATGAGATAAAATTCAAATATTACATAATATAAAACAGTTTAAGAAATAAATTAAATCTTTTTAGGACAGGGAGATCACTACATTGCCCGCGGGCTTCGAATGTCTAAGCTATGCTTCTATTCTACATGTGACTTTAGAGAATCTTTTGGACGAAAGATTTGATTTTAAAACTTAATTTTTAAATCTGATCATTAGTTAATGTTATATAAGCTTGTTATTTTTTATCTATGCAAAAAATAGTGACGTCACACCTTGCAATGGTAAGTAAACATAAATGACATTTACAAATATACAACGGCAAACCGTAAGTAAATGTATATAATAGTCAGAAAATTAGAAAGAAAAAGCTACAATTTTGATTTGAAATAATTACTATTATCTGGTTCTGATGATCGAAGCCGACAGTTTCAGTAACAGGGTTACAAATATGATTCCATGCTTTCAGTATTCCATATCCCCAATTAAAAATTATCTGAAAGTCACAGTCAACAGATTAATCATTGCAATACTCTTATATATAAGAAAAAATAATTAAATAAAACATGGTATAGGATATAATATATTCATTTTAATCTCATTCCCTGTTGGATGTTTAAAAGTATTCAGAAATGGAGGAAAACTTACATGATATCCCAAAAATGTACCAGGCTGAAGTCTAGAGATAGAGGAGCATCTCAGAAGTACCTCATGCATACTGATAGATTTTTGAAGTGTTTTTTTTTTATTTCTCAAAAAACTATAATACTACGGGCAGTGTTAATTTCAATACTTTGTAAGCATTTACAGTTATGTAAGGAGGTGATTTGATCGATATCATTCTCAACTAATTTTTTTCTAGTTAATTATTTATTTAATTAGGAGTATTGACTTTATACAGCAGCCTCTATAAAGTGGACAGTCTTAAATAAAATTTAGTGGAATGCCCCTGAATGGTTTCCCACACCAGGGTCGATTCGCGGCTGTTTTAACAGAATAAATAATTACTTACACAACCGGACTCGAACCTGGGACCCGGTGAGCAAAGTGTCTTGTCCACTGAGCTATCCCTACTATATATACTCGACAATTTTCATTGTTCCAAAATACCACTAGTGACAGAATTAAACACTTAAATTTAATTGGCATTACCCCAACATTCAAAAAATAAAGATGAAACTTATCAGAAATTGATTATTACTCTCCCCATAATAACTGGTAAAAATTCTCAAAGAATACCGTGTTGGGTTTTGATATGGGGTACTAGCAGATTCAGAATTTAATTTGGGGAGGGGACTTAAGCCTGAAAGTTTTTTTTTTCATATATATAACAATAATTAATTTGAAAAAAAAAGAAACTAACTAACTATATGACATGGTGTTCTTGAAGTCCTATTAAATGTAATTACATGAACAATAATACTTTAAGACATAGTATTTAATGGTTGTATTTTACCATTTTTTGGGGAGGGGGAGAGGGTTCAGCCCGAAATCCCCTCCCCCATTGATCCGCCTGTGATGGGGGGAGAGAGAGAAGGAGAGAAAACTGATGTTTTTTTTTAACTTTTTGAGAATATCTCTAAAGCTATGAGTTTTTTTTTTTTTCCGAAGGCTGTTCAATAATATATTAAAATTTCTATAAAAATACTTCTTTACATTCTTATGATAAAATCAACGATTACAGAAATATTCACTAGATTGTATTTATTGTATTTCCACTTTAAGCAAAAACTGCTCCAAACCACGAAATTGATGTTGGTTGTAATGAATGAACCGTTTTCAAGATTAATTCGTTTTTTTAATATTTTCATTCGTTTAAATTATTATTAATGTTTCTTGGTTTTGATGATTCTAAAAAGCCATTGACAAAAGAATTATATTCGATATCAATCAATCGGGAATTTGCATGATATTGATATGAAATTTAGATTGACATTAATTTCATATAATTGATAATATGTGATAGCAGACTTTAAAACCTACAAAAAGTTAATATAAACAATGTTCTGATTAAGTACTGAGAACCATAAAACTTAAATATTGTATTTTTTTAAGTCAACCACGTTAAATAATTGAGATATTGAGGGTAATAAATGATTAAAAAGCAATAACTTAAAATATATTTAATTTAGGTAACAATCAATTACTTAATAGTAAACTAGATAAGATTTAATTTAAATACAAATACAATTGTCTTTTTTAAAATATTAAAAAGGGACTTTTAAACAGTTAAATTACGGTAAGTTTGGTTTTCTATAAAATCAAGGAATTTTCGCGATTTTTTTATAACCATCTAACCCGATTGGAGATATCACACTTTTAGAAAAACTTTCTTGTTTGATGGACTTTAAGTCTATTAACGCTGTTATAATGAATTTAATCATAATCGTTAGTGCCGTTTTTGAGAGAATTGTGAAAAATTTGTAAAACCGATTATATAAAGTGACACTTCCGGTTATACGATTTTGACGAAAAAGTTGCTGCAACATCCCAGGTATGTAAAAACCTTAAATACGTGTTTTCAGTGGCGTATGACTATTCGTTTTTGAGCTAGACTGTTCACATACATGCACATACCATTTTGCGGGATTTATTTGGACTAAGGAGACCTCAAAATATGTATTTCCGTTGAAAATTCATATTCAAACATTTTCTCGATTGTAATACTTACCTTTACTATATACATATAGTATACATATATACATAACCCCTTACTATATACATATATAGATATGAAGAAGCTGCTGAAGAATAGAAGAATCCATGGACCCAAAATAATACCAGAAGGATACAGACTGAAATCCAATAAGGAGATTTACAGTGAAACCTTTGATTTAGAAACGGAAATGAGGGTAAGAAGACTTAGCTTTTATGGACACATGCAAAGGATGACCGAGGAGAGGTTAGACAAGAAGATTTTCTGCAGGGTTATGGGATACAAGTTTAACCATGGATATACGGTAAAAATAAAACAGGAAATACAGCGGCTTGGTATAACACGGAAATTATGTGAGGATAGGACAGAATACAAGAAATTCCTGAAAAGTGCGGTGCACGTGGTGGACAGTAAGGAACTACCGTTCAGGAGGAAGTGGACTGAGGAGTGGAAGAACAAATTTAGCGATATCCTCAAGCAGTGATGGGCAGAAAGGAAGAAATTGAAAAAGAATCCAGTCATAGTCGCATAGTCCTTCAGGGCTGTTTCGCGTAAAATAAATAATAATATAGATATGTGAAAGTAAAAATATAACTACACAAGAATCACTTACCAGATATAACAGATAAGAGTTAATGAATACTTGTGCTAGGTTGTAAATCCTTAAAACAGTCTTTAAATCGTATGGTTTTCTCTCACTCATCATCCTTGGACCGATCAACTTGACCGTAAAGAAATAAATTGTGAAGAGTACTGGTATGTGGTGGTATGTAGCAAAAATCGATGAAAAGTGATCTTGAATCTTCGGTCCTGTAAAGCAATTAACGTTTGAAGAAAAATTAATAACGTATTGAAGGAGTACAAATAAAAATCCAATAGTTTCATTACATTATCCTTTGGGGAGATTTTTTTTTTTCCCAGAATAATTCATTTTTCATTTATAAAGAAGAAAAGTAAATTTTATTCTGATACATTTAGAGTAAAAGCACCAATAGCCGACAGTGTAACAATACCTGACACCCTCCTCGAAAATTGGGAAAAATAAAATTTCAGGATCTCCCATATCTTTGTTTCATATATTTTTAGTTTCTATATTTTCTTCTAGTATTTTTTGTCAGCTTTGATTTAGTCTTACCGGAAATCGCATCTGAAATAATGAGTGGCAAATTAAGAAAATCCCTCACACTTCATTTAGTGTCCCAGGAACACCAATCTATCAGTAAGAGCACCAAAGCTTAGGTTTGCCTTTTTCTCTTTAACTACTCAGATTTATCCCAACATTTTTGTATGATTACTTTTTGGAGGGTTTTTAAATTTTATTTTGTCTATTTTTAACTTATCTTGATGAAGGAATTGTATATTTAATGGGTATCAGCTACTGGGTACTTATGATTGGACAGTTTTTCCACTAGTTGACAGGTATGTGCTCTCATCAATTCAAAGAGATATACTCAATATAACGTTTCTTGAAAATTGGAGCATTCACTACTGTCATGTTAAAAAAAAAATTGGTAATGATTTGGATTAAATATAAAGCAAAAATAGATTTACCTATTGCCAAAAACAGATTCTTGACAGTGACTATCATTTATTGATAAATTTGATTCAGGAAACGCAAGAAGTTAGTTTTATAATAAATTAAAGATAAGTTTAGCTAATCTTAAAGTGAAGAATATGAAATTTCTCTTAATTATATCCCTCTAGGAACATTTCTAATCAAAAAGTGTCAGCTACTGGAGCAACAAACATATTCTCTTAATTTTCAATTTTTTAAAAATTTAGATAAATGTTTCATGGATTTAAAACATGTCTTGGTAAGGTGAGACATAGTTATATAAGATGAGTCCAAGAAAAATATAATAACCTCAATATCTAAGTTTTAACACTTAAAAGTTCAAAGAAATTTCCTTAATCATTTCAGCTACTGGAGCATTTACCCTAGTCCCCTAAGAATAATTATAATGAACAGAAAGGTGACATTTGTCTGGCATTATAAGAAAACCAAAAAATAATTAGTTAACATAATAATCTTATCTTAAAGTTAGAATAAACAAAGTATATGTAAACATCAAACGTACATCAGTTCATTTATCCAAGAAACTTAAATACACACATGAAAATCTCTCATCATACTGCTATGCATTGAATATAGCAAATAAGTTTTTAAATTATTATGAGATGTCAAAAAGTTGAATGAAACCGACTTCTGACATCAAAAACAGCGTCAAGGGAGGAGTAGGTAGATAAGGACCGACCTGTACCTGGACCCTGGGAAGGCTTAGAGTAAAAACTAGTAACGGGCTAAGTAACTGGTTCCTTTTAGGGTGTTACCAGTTATTGTGAAGTAATAGGTTGAAGTTAAGAACCAATGAAAACCATCCTTGCCCCACCCTGAATATTTGTATAAAATCTATCGAGAAGAAAGGAAAGAGGGCTTATGTGAGTTTCTGGCCTTGATAATAGGTCTTATGTTTTCTTCCGGCTAGGAAACTGAAGCCTTGGCCTTACATAGACCAAGCCGATGAGATCCTGGAAGTTTTTGGACCTGGGGACTTGATGAGATGACCTCAGATCACCAGATACAGTGATGAAATCTACCAACAACACCACTTCACATAACATAATAGCTAAGTTGTAATTCCCAATCCTAATGTTAAAATATTTCATAGCAATAATTCTCAAACAGTCCATCTGAAATCATACCTGCAAAGTCATTATTAAATCATATTTTTATTTCATTTATTGTAAATAGTATTTGTACATAAAGATTTCCATATATATATATATATATATATATATATATATATACTTTATTAAACATAGAAATAAATTAAATTTTTTAGTTAAAGTTATTTTAATTCTGCCACCCATTTATATCATGGTGATCATAGGTAATGTTGATAATTAGAAAGCATCATAAACATAAACCAGCCTTTGAGAAAAGAAATCAAATTAATAAATCATGGAACAAATATATTATAGATCCAAATATGTTTAACTAATCTTTTATTATTAATTTGTATTAAACATTTCTGGTTAATTATCATCAATAATTATCCAGTGGCATCCCGAATAAATTTCAACACCCTAAAACATAGCAATACCAGCGACAAAAAACTCTTAATACCACTTGTAGACTAATTGTATGAAAATACAATTTTAGAACATTGTTACAATAGACTCTGGATACAAGTATAAAAGATGTTTGTAAACGTAATCACGCGTCCTCCATGTCTCGGTTAAGTAGGATATCACCAAGCATATCACGGATTTCTAAGTTTACACCAGATGTAAGGTCAACCTTCAAGGTTGCAAAACAAGCATTAAAAGAAAATTTCAAAATCAGAAGGGATACCGAAGTTCTTATTTAAAGAACACGTTGAGATTACACAAGTTCCCTTTTTCCATTCATGTCCTATATACATTCAGAAATTTAATTAAATATGACCTACACGACAATCAACAGTAATATAACGTTGTTATAAATACGATTGGATTGCTTTTGTTTGCCGGTATAGACAAAATATGGGAATATTACCTCAGGATAAACACCTTTAAAATAAAATAAAAAAAGTATTGGATTATCTACTATTTCTAGAAGACAAATACAAAAGATATGAATTACATATGTCCAACAACAATGCGAATTTTTAGTAGTTTGTCAAATATTGCAAAAATGGTTAGGTTTTTCAACTTTTATTCGATACTAATATGATAAATTAAATAGTTTTAGCAAGAATGAAATAGCTAACACCCATAAAGTCCAATTTATGTAAAGCGCTTTGTTGTCTTAAGTCCCTTCATCATAGATTAAAAAAGCCAGGAGGTCAAAATCGCGACATCAACCGACGTCAGGTGTCAATCTTATTCAAATTACGTAAATAAAGTTACAGGAAAACATAAATGAGGTTACAGCACTCGGTCAATCTATTGCTGATTCATGAACCTAGTTTATCATAAGTCAACATTATTAGAGAAGTCATTCAGATAAGGACAGGCTCACAATCGGTAGTTCGTATCATAGGAGGATTTACGAAGAGAAGAGGGAGCTTTCGGGTTGAAGTCTCCCTCCAAAATGATAAAATATAACCATGTCTTATGGAAAAAATATTGAAAAATTAGTTCTAAAATTATTATTGGTCCTGTAATTACATTTAATAGGGAAAAGCTTCCCTCCAAAATCAAATCCTGAGTCCGATAGTATTTTGTATCGATGTTTTCAAGCAATATTTAAATTGAAAAACAATAATAAAAAAATAAAATCAACTCATTCCATCATTCAAATAATCGTTATTAAAACTCTGAATCCAAAAATGTATTCTATTTGACACTCGTAGATTCTGTTCAAGTTATTTTGATAGTTTTCAACCATTTCCTCAACAAAAGTGGATTGGTTGCTCTTTTATGTTTTCTAAAACTGCGAAAATAAATAATTATTCTATTCTAAGCAGAGAATAGAAACCTTCAATTGAATATCTTTAAACTTAATTGGGTTTCTACACTTCTTATCCAAGAGTTGATTTATTCATAAATTCCTAATATCAAACTGACACTCTTCAATGCACGAATCGAAAATCTATCTTTAGTCTGAGATTTATCAATTTTATTTAAATTAATTGTTAACTTTGGAAGGAAGAGAAACAGACGAGGAAGAAATGTATAATAATAAAAAAAAGTCTTAATTTTCGGGAATTAAATGTGATGATTTTAACATGAAGCACTTCACTTTAAATATTTGCAAATTTTTATCCAAACAAAAATAAAATTTAAAAAAAGAAAAGAAAGTGAAAATATTATAAGGTGTTTTCAAGGAATGAATTGCCCTTCTAATGTTTCCATTCATTTATGTAAGAACCACGTTTCGTGCTAATTGGCTTACTTTCAAGCTATCTGACAACATTCCATACAACACCAATATATTGCAGTTTACTTTCAGTCCAATTATACAAAACCATCATTGTCCTTAGCATTATATTCGCATTTGATCAAATATATGTCAATTCAAAAACCCGACTCTTAACAGTACCTCCCCTTCTATTGGTTAAAATGGACCAGTCCATTTTAAGGACTCGTGCAATTTGTGTTTAGCTCAGACAACGAATCACAATCTCTTTTTTACTATACTATTAATTTTAAATTGCGTTTAGATTTTTCGGATGAAATAATTTCAACAAAAATTTAATTTTAAATAATGCACAAAGAAATTGAATTATACAAGTTTTATAAGGAATTTCCCAAGGTTGGAAACACATTCACATTAATAACGTTGCATAATAAGTACAAAAATGAGCCTGCTTACCATTGACAGTGACATTGTAGCGGATATTGAAGTCCATCACACCAGATTTAGGTAGCAATGAGATGGAAAACGCCTGGAAGCTATTGCTCCCCACTTTTTCCTGCTGAATGTAAACTATATTTCAACATCCCTCTACTAATTAACAATTTTTTTTTCTTAAAACACATTTATGCTTTAATTAGAAAGCCAGAGGAAGGGAGGCTTATCTTTAACTTACTTACTACCGTCATACAATGACGTGATGACGTAACAGATGATTTTGGCAACCCCCTATATTTGTTTCGTAATTAATTTTGATTTTGATTTCTTGCATCTCTTTTGGATAGAATAGCAAAATTAGAACTTACTGCCAAAAGTTTAAAATTATTTCTTGAATAATTTTCAGATATGAAAACGAAGAAAGGCTGCTGGAACTAGGATATTTCCAGGAGGGAAAAACTCAACTTTTTCAGCCTCTTCTTTAACCCTTCTCCCCTTCCCCAATAAAGGTGAACAGTATTTTCGGTAAAATAATTAATAATAAATATCAACAAATAATTACATAACTTTGTAGTTGGCTGGATTAAGGTCAAAGACACAGACAAAAATGTTTTTATTTATCATGAAAATGCAATGTTTTTTCAAAATTTATCTCCCTTACTTAAAGTTTTCCTTCTCTGGTTCCCGTTCTGGAGAGAATCAAATTTAAGCATAAAGTAAAAGTGCCCCATTTATCACATCTGATATATTAGTAAGTATTGACACTCTGCTATTTCAAAAATCAGAAATAAAAAAAGCTTAAGCAGCCATTTTGAGTAATGTTACACTTATATGATATTGATCTATCTACAAAACAAATATTGAAATATATATCCAATTTCAGCTTATTCATTATCCAAATGGGTAAGATATAAGTTCACTCTATATATCAGATTATTTTTTGATATTTTTATTTAAATAACTGATTTGGAATGAAAGAATACAAAGTTGAAACTTGTATCTGAGCAAGGTAACTACAAACAATGTACTGATGAATTAATAAATGATGAAAAAGTTTAATTTTTTCCTTACAATTTTTAATTTTTTGTTAACCTTCGAACGGGCTGGCTGGTGCATGGAATGCACCAGCCTCAGTTTTTAGGCTGTCAAAGTGTTCAGATATCGTGGTGATTGCATATATTTATTTATCTAACCCATATTGTCCTTCTGCTACCTTCTTACCTGCCCCGACCCTTAATACCCACCTTAATTTTAGAAATTCCTTGGAAAACAGTTGAGGCAAACTTTGTGTGGTGAACTTACTCATGTTATACTTTTAATTTTTCTTGGATTTTTTTAATCAAAGTTTTTAAAATGTCATGTGAAGACATCATATATGTGTAAGAAAAAAGAAACACTAATTTTATATAAATCAATACTATTAGAAATTGTAGAAGTACATATTAATGTACAAAATATTAAATTTAGATAAATATTAAATAATAGAAAAACAAAAACATTACTCATTACAAAAACGCCAAAGTGCACTCCATTCACCGTGCACCTACTGGTGTTACAAACAAAGGTGCTAGAAGGTTAAATAAGATAAAAACTGAAAAGACATTTAGAAAGAATTAGTTTGTAGAAATGATATCTAATAACTTGTATTACATAAAACAAGCTATAATTAATTTATTATTTTAAATTATTTAAATCACGTATGACAAGTTTGCATTCAGTTTTGAAAGATGGATCATCCAATGGACTGTGGCAAAAAGAGAGGAACACATTTTTATTGAAAAGGATACCGTTTGAGTTCAATTTTAAGAAATGATCAAGAAATAGTCGTGATTTCATCATAAACAAAAAGAAATTTAAGAAATGCAAATTAATACATACATTCTTGAACCTCTATTTTTTTATTTTAGCAAAAAGAAGACAAAAGCTTGCTTGTTTAATAACCTATAATTCACATTAAATAATTTGAGGTTTGTTACATAATAAACTGAGATTCACCTAAATTTGAACAAACCTTTTCTATTTTCCTTTTGTGATCTAGGATACTTAGTTCATAATTTGTAAATATTTATTTTTTTTTTAAAAGACAATATTTTTCACATTATTTATTTATTTTTGTAGAAATTGTGAATACATTCTAAATAATCACATAAAATATAAAAAGGTATGTAAAATATATTGTATTTTTTGGTTTTCAAAATAAATGTTTGAGCAAATGTTTTTAATAAAAATAAAGGTGAATCTTAGCTTATCCTATAACAAGTTCAACTTAATTAATACAAACTTATAGGTTATTGAACAAGGAAGTTTTTCTAAAAGTGGAGAATTAGTAGTCTAATAGGAGGTAAGAAAAAAAAAAAAATTATAAATAATCAGATTTTATGAAAAAAAAAAATACTTTGCGTAGTTCAGTTGCTTAGAAGCCCTCGTAAAATGGTTTTGATAGACTAATTCTACTTGTTTTTGAAGAAAATTTTGTTTAGTTTAATATGTTATATTAATAATTACTTAAATTAAATATAATTATGGATTGATGGTTGACTGAAGTGAATAATTGAATAGAAGATTGGTTGGGGTGATCAGTAAAAGAAAAATGTAAAAATAAATAAGTTATATTTATTTCTATTTTTGCTGACGTTTCGGCCCTAAGTTCAGGCTTCATCAGGACTAAGAAAAAAACAGATAACAATAGATATCAGAGACTATTAACATTAAAAAGAAAAAATAATAATATGTAGGTGAAAGGTACAGTCTAAAAAATATAAGAAGAATAAACTTAAATTAAAAATAAAATAACAATAACAAAGTAGTGTAGACATAACCTTGGTGCTTCCACTACTTTCTACCTCTAACTTTATTATCATTATTTTATTTTTCCTTTAAGTTTATTCTTCTTATATTTTTTAGACTATACCTTTCACCTACATAATATTTTTTCTTTTTAATGCTAATAGTCTCTGATATCTATTGTTATCTGTTTTTTTCTTAGTCCAGATGAAGGTCTGAACTTAGGGCCAAAACGTCGGCAAAAATAAAAATAAATACAACTTATTTATGTTTACTTTTTTTGTTTTTTTTTATGCATCTCCCCAAACATTCTTCTCTTAAATTAAATATATTTTTAGTTACCTAATCCTGTTCAACAAAACAACATACAACTTAAAATATCTTAATTTTCTTTTTGGTTGCAATTGTGGTGTGGTGGCATCTCCTCTTGGCATAAGGACCACTAATCCTGTTATACCCTCCTAACATAAAACATTCCAAATAGATTAAAACTTTTCAAACACAATTTCTTTTCTCTTATTTAACATCACCCTCCTCCTCACACAAAATTAATTGTTGCTTTCAGTTATAAAAGCAATAATTGAAAAGTATGAATCAGAAGGAAATTTTATGGATTTCTAAAAATCATAAATGATTTTAATCTAGATTATATGTTTTATTAATCAATTCATAAACTTTAAGAAGGGAATTTTTCAAATTAATAACAAATTAAGTTCAAATTAAAAAACTTTAAGTATCATTTTTTATTGGTTGAACATGGTGTATATTAAAGTTAATAACAATAAAAGAAAGAGTTGTAATCTTTAATTTAAACAAAAATATATATAAATATATTATCAGTCACTAATATTCTAAAAATTCGCTAACATGTTGAAATACATACTCCAAGAATGAGTATTGTTGACATTTCAAATTTCTCAAATATAAAATACATAATAAGTGTTAAAATACATTTATAAGAAAATCGTTGAAAAGTTTGTACTTTCTACATCAATCTTGTATTAATGTAAAGATAATTTTAAAATAAAATAAATTAAATTAAGTGTTGTGTGGATGTAGATTAATTTCTAAAAATCAAGGCATGAATTTTGTTAAAATATGTCTAAATTAACAAACTAGTTAAAATACAGATTTGTATCACAAAATACACTGGCTAGCCCATCGACATGAACATCATTAGGATATCGATCAATTAGCCATAGCAAAATTCACATTAACAAAAAATACTTAAAATAGTCCAATATTTAACTGATCGATAAAAATTTATAAAATGTCATATAAGTTCTAAAACAACCAATTATTGCTAATATCAGGAATCAAAATAATTATTAATCTTATTCAAATAGTTTCATTTCAATTATTTGACACAAATGAAACTAATGTCAGTGGCATGTTTCAAAAATGTTTCCGGAACATTTATAAATAGTTTCTGTAAAAATAAATAAAAATTTAAATTTTTTCATTAATTAAAATATAAATGACTTACACATTGTTTTTCTAGAATTAGTACTTTGTTATTTGTCAATATGTAATAACTGAAGAAAAAAATATTTATCCTGAGGCTGTCATAACTGATAACAGCTATCCAATATTTATACGTGCTATTTAATTATAAAATTCCATATTATTTTAGTTATATAATTGCTAGATTATTAGTATTAAAAACAAATCTAGTTGGTGTTCCGTAAAACTAATCTGAAACTAAACTATAAAGTTATTGATGATTATTTTTAAAATAAAGAATTAAGAATAGTTTACTTTTTATTAAGATTTGAAAATACGATTCCTAATAATATCTTTATTTTAAAGCTTGAAGAATGTTAAAAGTAAAGAACGAGTTCAAAATAAAAGTTATAGTAAAACTTTTCTTCTAAAAATAAAAACAATAATTTTTTTTTTTATAATCATAGTTGTTTGTATCGGTCCCTAGCAAAAATTCAAGATTGCATATTAAACATTTACATTAAAATCACATAATTTGTGCATTAAATTTAAAACTATAAATATTAATCTAAAATATATAGAACATAAAAAACAATCCTAGCATTTGATTAGCTTTAAATTATGGCACAAAACATAAATTAAATATAGCACAACATTTTACAATTTTACAATAATAATTCACCTATCACAATTTAAAATTTATGTATCACATTATCTACATTTATATATAAAAATACTTCTGAATCTTATCAACAGACACTTTAAATGTTCAAAAGTACTTAATTGTCACTGTTCACAGAATCTTGATAATAAAATATGAGAGAACAAGTTCATCAAGTCAGAAGAACTTCAGGCCATTTATGGTGGGTCATCTATGTCAATTCAATGTCGTAATTCTTCAATTATTAGAATAAGAATCTGTTTGTAGTCAATCAGAAGAAGCATCAATTAAAATAAATAATAAGAACAATATTAAGTTTCATTGATTTATCAATAGTGTCAATGTTTTTATTATTGACCAAAGAATTACTTCTACTTGATAATCATTTTCATCTCATATTGCTAGTCAAAATTTGTATACAGAAAGCTCAAGGAGTTGAATATAACAGTAATAAAAATTGTTGAACATAAAAAGAACTAGAAGACTATATAAATTTGAAACATTTCTGTTTATCATGAGGTATCCTCGTCTTGAACAAAACAGAATCTGCTCTGAACTGGGTATTCAACAAAGGTGTATATCCAAAAACCTAAAAACAAATAAGAAATAGAAGTAAAGTGATGCTTCAAACCAATAATAATAATTTTACAAGGAAAGAAAAATTAAATTAACAGTTTATAAGAAATTAAATTTTAATCCACCATATAGATTTTCTCATTGATAACTTTTAATTATATTGTGTAGTATAATTTTAATATAGTAGAACCATTTTTAGAAAATGATTCTACCAATTATTATATTATAATTGGGATTATGTGGGACATTTATTGAGATAAGATTGTATCATTTTTAAAATGCTGATGGATTTGCAATAAGCCTTTCTCAGCCTCAGAGAAGGAACTTATAAAGTTAAGAGTATACCATAGACCCTCAAGGAACTACTGACTGGTATTCAGTACTACCATTTCTCTAAGATAGAGCTACAAGAGTTTCATTTCCATTTATTTAGCACTATATCCCTTCTAAACCCAACTAAAACAAAGCTTGGTGCAATTTTATAAATCATACTTATGTGAACCTAAAACTGTTTTCAAAGTGGTTTTACCTTTTCAGTGAAAAAGTGAAATAAACAAATGATTCTGAACAACCCAATTTTAGTTGTTATATTATTCAAACTGTTAACCGTTAATATGGCAGAAAAAGCAGCAACAGTTACTTTCCAGGTTTCTGGGTTAAAACTTATTAAATATAATGTGGCCATAAATGGCAAAAAATCCCAAATTTACAGTAGAAAATAAATTATTTGTATTTAATATGGTTTCTTTATATCTTTTTCCAACAAAAACAAGTTTCTGAGGAGCACTAGGGATATAGCATTCATTTGATGACAATTTCCCTCTGCATTGTTAATAAACGGTATTAGAGATTTGAAAGTACACAGCCCATGAGATATTGAAAACAGTATCCACATCTCAAGCAAAATATTTTGTAAACTTAGGCTTCATTTAGATGGAGAACATTATCGTATCATAAGACAATTTTTCTTCCAGCCATTAAGTAACAGAGTGGTCAATAAATGCCAGCCAGTTGTCCTACAAGGAAATTTTAGGATTTTCAAGACAGTATGGATAAAGTTTAAATGCTAGATGCTTGCTGCCAGGTTTTTGACTAAGAAAAAAAATTTTTTTTTTCAAACGACATAGTTGAAAATTATGTGGTCAAGGTTCTTTAAACATTTACACCCATTTTAATGAGCTTGATAAAATTCTGCAAGCCATAAATCTCAAAAAACTCACCTAAACCAAGTACATCGTCCTTCTAACTGAACCATTATATATTTTATTATACTAAATTTTATTTACACTCTTAAACACAACACCAATATTAATTACTAAATTATAAAATATGACTAAACAACAATAATGCTAAAAATAATTTTACCTGAGTAAAGAAATTAATACATTTATGTCGTTCTTGAAAATGTGTATCATCTTCTGAAAGAGACACAGGACATCCAGGACACCTGAAAGTCCATCTAGAAGTGACCTAAAATAATATCAGCAATTAAAAAAATAAATTAACATTTAGTTAATTTTCTAGTTGACCTAGAAAGAAATTTCAATAAGATTAAGGGTCAAAATACTGTATAATCTGGTCTCCACACAAGTGTCAAATCGTTTGTACAAGTATAGTCGTGTTTGAGAAGTATTTGCGAAGGTTGGCATTGGCCCTTGGATGGACCATTTCCTAAGGGTTTGCTTTTAGATATTAAAATAATTTATTCTTGCCTAATATTTGCATGTGCATGTGCCAAAATGACAAACCAATCACTTAACAGGTTTCTCATTTTTATCAAAATAATTTATTTTAAAATTGTTCCTTCAAAGATAATTTGAAATTATCAATGATTCATAACTTTTAGTTGTTAATTGGACTCATTTATGCTTAGTTTGTGTTATTTATTGTTATTCAATTATTAAAAATCAGATCTTTTTTTAAATCACTGCTCTCTGAATTTTTTTATAAACATGGACATTAAATGACAAACACTTCAAGTTGCGTTTTTTAACTACTAACGTTTTTTTCAGCCTAGCCCTCCAACAATCGCGATAATGTTTGTCAAGCAATTTGCCATGTGGCTGATTGGCTCTTTCACATTTGCTTCATACTATATAAATATTTAGGTTTTCAGTTCCCCATTACGTTTCCTCCAATATTGATATTTTTAATTTCAAATTCTACAAAAAAGAAAGCATTTAAAATCTTTATTTGGGCCAATAATCTTTCAACAACCATATAGGAATCTAAGATATGCTCTCTTGAACTGGACTTGTCTAAGATGTGAAGAACCAAATACTGCACCACTTGCACTAAAACTAATATTTAATTGGAACCAATATTCCTTGTCTTGTATAAATTTCCTATATACTGATCTTATTTTCCACAAATGTTACATTGGATTGTAATTATAAAGCTCTATTCATATTTTTATCAAAATAATGGAAACTGTATAAATTGAGACATTTATAAAATCAGATTGCATAAAATATAGAACAGTTTGGAGCACACAGTATGAGTGAATAATTCAATATAGAATCAAATAAGAATGAAGAGATCACAAATAAAACATACATTCAAAAAATAAAAATGTTTGATGTTAAAAGTAAAGCTCCTATTAAAGATAAAACAATATGATCGATTAAAATAATATGCAAACCTTGACAGGAGGTTTTCTTGTAATGTGAGAAACAAGAAAATTCATAGCTATGTCTTCACAATTCATAAATTCATCAACCTTGTCTTTGATAGCTTGGGGTAGCCAATGGGTATATAGATACATATAATACTTGTGAACAAAGGCAGCTCCTGAAAATTAAGTAGATTAAGTTAAGTGAAATAACAAATAAGAAGAGGAATATATTTCCAAACTGCTACTATAGAAATATTGCTTTGAGAATAGATACACTTTATAATGGAACAAAATTTATCTTGCACTTCAAATTTACTGTACATACATTTAAATTCAAAATGTCTAACTAAGGCTTATGATTTTTTTTTTTTTCCAAATTTTATATTCATCACCTTAAACTACAAAAAAAAAGTAAAATCATTTTTTTTTTTTGTAATTGATAACTCTCTTAAGATGATGTTTATTCGGTACTGAATGGAATTAGAACTAATTCTTGTCAGTACCAATCTATTTATGGCTTATTTTAAGAATGCTCTTAGTGGAGAATTTTGATTGACTTAACTCTTGAGGTAGACACAATCAACTAAGTAGGACTTATCCAGAATTCAGCTTAAGTTGTTTAAGCCTTTAAAGATTTGGTATGGTTGGATGAATATATCGAGATAGTTATTAAAAAATATATATATTTTTCACATAGTAACTTTTCTTGGTAGTTTGTGGTAAAAAATGAAAATAGAATTTTGGAAATGTGACTTATTTTTTTCATGACATTTAAGTAGAAAAATCACTCTTCTTTCTATCCTATAAATTCAATAATATGAAACACTAAATGAAAACTTTACCTGTTAGAACCATAGAAAGTTCACACGAGTAATTTGAGTTGTACAACCATCCCCCATAATTAAGATCTAAAGAATGGTATCTTCCTGGAAAACCAACAATCCTGTCTCGCTCTTCCCTCCAAACTCTAGAAAATTAAGAGATCTAATATTAATTAAAATAAATTACTATTTACATTAATGACATGAGTTTTTGTAGAAATAACAATAAACACTCAAGTCTTTAATAATAAAACCAAATCATAAAAAGTATTTAAGTCCTTTTTAAAGATCCTATTGTTCTAGTAATAGAAAAACAGGCATCCACGAAAATAATGGATGTATATTCAACTTCTCGCATTAAAGTTTATCAAATATACAAGTTAATCAGCTGTCGATATATCATTCAGATTGAATTAATTGGTCAAAATAATGTAATGTCACAAGTGAAACATTTGGAAACTTTTTACATTTTTAAAACTTCAACTTAGCTATAAATAGTTGGAAAATATTTTGAACCATGAAAAACTGATCACGCAATCAGAAGAAAATAGAGGAAAAGTAAATGAAAATAAAGAAAATGTTCACACTACTTCTTCTATTTGCCTAACTCTAAACAGTTGGAAAATACATCAAACCGTGAAAAATCAATCATTCATTCCTGAGATAAGAAAAAAGAGAATGAAAAGTCGGATAATTTTTCAAAACATTTTTCCATTTTCACCTATCTCTAAAGGGTAAGAAAATATTTTGAACCGTCAAAAACTTATCACCCACAAACCAGATTAAACATGAAATGCAAATGGAAATTTTTATAGCATTTTTCCTTTAAGGTAGGTTCGTTAAAATAATTTTATAATTCAATTATTCAAATTTTTATTTGAAAAGCTTGAATAAAGAATAAAAAGATAATAGATAACTTCGGGTTATTTATATAAGTTAACAAGTGAAAAATATATTTGATATTCGTTAGTTGAAAAACAGATAAATCATTCGTTATCTATTACTGGTTATATAAAATAAATTTATATTTTTATCATATATTTATCAATTATATATATTTATCATATATCATCAATTATATTATCATATATTTTTGTACAAATATATGATATATATATATATATATATATAATCATAGATTTTTGAAGGATGGCGTGGATGGAGAGAGAAACCACTGAATATGATTTGCCAATATGAGAGGTAGCAGGTTTAAGGAGATGTATTTTGATCAACCATACATTTTATATACAGAATTATTAATAATTGGTGAGACCAGTAAGAAAAAACAATTATTTTAATTAGAACCATGGCTCACAGCAACATAGTAGCCTGATGGCAAAGACATGCTAGAATGAAACTTAACTTCCTCTCTAAGAACCTTTAAAAGGTAGGGACATGTTCACGCATGTAGTAAAATGAACCTTGCATGATGTTTTTGAAAATAATTTTATGAATTCCCACTTATATATTAATTCTTGTTTTGTCTTAAATTGTTTTCGATAAATTTTCACATTTAAAATGAAAACATCATGTTAGCCAGGTCAATTTAATGAGTTTCTTCCTCTGTCAAGAACTCTCCTAATTTTCCTGCTTCTGCTTTCTGATGGTCGAGCTATAGTGCATTAAACTTTCAATATTTATTATGAATATAATCACAAGACATTTCAGTATTTCTTTTATTAATTACCTAAAGCCGAAAATGATCTCATCGTGCCTTAGATGAGCATCATCATCAATTTGGAGAACAGCTTCAGTTTCGATTGCTTCATAAGGCAGAAACCTATTATTAAGACTATTTCTGCTTCCCTTCACGACCTGAGAAAAAAATCGAAGTTATAAAATCATTGAAAAAGAAAAAAAAATCAAGAATTATTAATAATAAAAACATGCAATTTTCAATGTGATTACAAAGCAAAATATATTGACTACTAAAAGTGGATAATTTGCCTTCAGTATTCAATTAGAAATTATTTAAAATACTGAAATTTATGTTATATCATTAGTTAATTTTCAACGAGATGCGACTAGTGATGAATGTATTACTGAAGGAGAGAATTCATGGACATAGTACCTATATAGAAAATTTAGATATAATTTTGGGGTAAGCTACAACTAAACATCTGTTTTAAGTAACCAACAATAAGTTTCTTATTTATGATTTTTAAATTATCCAAGGATTTGACTTGACAATTAAGAGAATTTGATTTACCAATTAAAATAAGCACTCGATGTTTAAATGAGTAATACAAAACATTATATATTGGGCTACAACTCATGAATGGTCTTGGATCTAGTACAATCTAAAGAAGTACTGTTTTTCTTGGTTAACGGCAGTGCAAGGAGGTGATTCGACCGAGTTCATGCTCAACTGCCAGGTTTTTTAAGAGCACCCACTTTTTAGATCAATTCACGACAGATAAAACAGAATTAATAATTACCTCCACCGGCCGGATTCGAACCCGGGACCTTGAAGTCAGTGCTCTACATTCTAAACAGTACTGTATAATAAGGAATATTTTTTTAAAAATAAAGCATGACTAATTTAAAATAACTAAGGCAACTTGCATGAACTGGCACTCCGATCTCTGGCCACCTCAAATCTTGTAATGGAGGTCTTGGTGAATTCCATACAACTACCACTTTATTCAGATAAGGTAGTCCATGAAGACTGTTAAGAGAATTCATGAGAACCTAACAAACAAGCACAACATAAAAATCAATTGTATGTATTTATAAATATACAATATAAATAAAACAATAATTATTCCAAATAGTGTACAGAAGAAAAAGGCTACCTGTTCTCTTTCATAGGTCAGTATGACTATTGTAAACTGCTCCCTGGGAGAATTCCCTCCAAGACTTTCGCTGAACTCCTTTCCTGATCCACCAGCACCTGCTCCAATTGGTCGAAAACCCATACCAGAACCTTCAAAATAAAATGTCTTTTAATATAAAATTGGGTAAAAAACTATTTTGTTTTTAACATTTTTAAAAATATAAATTTTTCCTTTTGTTTAATATTTTATCAATAAGTTTCTTTATTTTTTTTTTTGTTCTCCCCTTCCTTGCCTTTTAGGTTACACAGAGTCTTTCCCGGGCCGGGGGAATTATGCAGAGTTAAAAATCCCACCGGGTACCAGGATTTAAACTCGTAATTATTTTTCAATCACTAACTTCGGTTATCAGGTAGCTGGGCAACGCGCGGTGCAGTGTACACGCGTTAGCCCGCTCGGCACACCACCCAATTATCAATACCTTTTTCTATTGACACAACTATCAGATATCATGAAATGTAAAATCTGAGAGTGGATTTATCTTCAAGAATATCACAGAAGGGTATCCCCTTTTGGAAAAGTTTAATAATAATAAAAGTTTAATTAGCAATTTAATAATTTTACTAACTGCAATTAATTTATTTATAAAACTGTATAATTTGTTTGTAAAACTTCTGAAGATGCCTGTTGACATATACTATAAATGGAGAAACCTTCCAGGAAAGGCCCATCTAGCATCTTCTAACATAGTAGATCCCTACTCCAGACATTTGAGAACCCAGTCCAAATTCTGTGGTAATATATCTGTCAGTAATATTTGTAACAGTGTGTCATAAGAAATGAAAAATGGATATAGTCTGGTGGGAATGCTAAAACTATTGTTATGTAGATGGGCAGTGAATAATACACCGTAAGAATTTTGTAGGAATATCGGAATGGTCTTTTAGTGCAGCTTTTCACATGAGCACAACACCTGATTGACATAAGTTCATATTAATCAGAGTAATGTACTGTACTTGAAAATTTGGTATGTGGCTATTTTAAGTTGTAGCAGTTATCTTAATAGTCAGTGATTCAGCCTTTTTTTCAAAATAGTCATATTTGAATTTCAGGTTTATCTTCTGTCCATGGTGAATCCTAAGTGTTTTGATTACAGAATTTTATAAAATGTTAGTAAAAGACGATTTGAATTTCTAAGAATGAATCTCATATGATTTGATTATCTTATATTACTTTTTATCTACTATTTATCAAACAAATTTTGTAGAAAATTGAAAAGATTTTGTAAGATATGGGAACCTGTAGTCATATCACAATATTATCTACATATTTTTATTATCCTTTTCTCTCCCACTTCGCCTTTTTGGCTATATGGTTTTTTTCTGGACCAGGTTTGAAGGCAGAGAATTAATGTCAGAGTTAAATGCCTCTGGTAACAGGACTCAAACTCATGATCATTATGTTATCAGGTTGTGAGGCAACCTGATTGTGCAAATGAAGCACTCTTCCCCTGTCTACATATTGCGAGAAGTGCATTGGTTGTCATTAAAATATCAGAAGTGTAGAGAACAGAAATAGACCTGAAATACTATCGTGTGGCTCCCCTTCACTGATTCAATAATACTCCCAAATGTTCATCATCTTTGTTAACAAAAAACCTTACTCAAGATATGCACTTATAAATAACACATTAGCTGCGGTTACGGTCCCCAGCGTCCGATAGCTTTATATCAGATATAATGATTATTTATGCTTGTATCAATCTTTAAGTCTATCCAACTACCATTCAAATATTTTTTAAAATGAACGATTTAGAGACTTCGAAAGATAGGCAAAATTTGAAACAACCCCGCCTGAGGAATATCAAAACTCGGGGACCGTAACCGCAGCTAACGTGTTAAATAAAATTAGAATCATTTTAGTTAACTAAGAAGACTGAATGGAGTGGAGACTGAAAGCATGTGCGACATCTACAAAAGCAGTATTGTAATGGTACTTATTTCCTAATCGTATGGCATTTCATTTTGGCGTGAGCAGATCTAGTACTAAATTTGTGGTTAGGAGTTCTCCATCTATGCTTATGAAATGGATAGAACCGCTTTAACAATAAATATTTTTTTAAACTATGGTGAAAGGCTAAGAGGCCTCTAAAAAGTAACTTGGTATTGTTTGGTTTTGGATGATTTTTATAAATGAAAACTTACATATGAGAGAAAAAACTAAAAAAAATTAATGCAATACAAAAATTACATAAAGAATTTTTTTTTTTTAACTGCTTTTAAAACATCTCAGCACAACACAGTAAAACTAATCAAACACTTCATTAAAATCTAAAACCTTATTATTTTAGTAACATAAATTCCTTCAACATTATTTTATTTAATTAATAAATTACCAATAAATTTTGCATCTGAAGGCAAAACAGGATCAAAAGGCAGTTGTGGATACTGTCGAAATGGATCGCCCCACACATTCCACATTTCATATCCCTGGAGAATATAAACAAAAATCAGGAACAAATACTTAATATTTATCAGGAAATACTTAATATTTATAATAGAATAATTAAATTTACCTGAGACAGAAATATTGACAAATTTCGTCTGAAAGCTGGAGATGGATAGGGGGGTTCTAAGGGTCCAAGATTTTCTTCAGGTTCTGCCTCAGCAACGACTGGTTCAGACTTCAATGGCTGAAAACAAATATGGCAAAAAGAGTTCAGAATAAATAAAATAAAGAGTTTAAAAATAATGGAAAAGTAGTCTTTGTTTTAAAAATTATTCTGCTATATGGTCAAATTAACTCATTAATATCAATAAATTTACTATCCAAAGTAAGGTTTTTTTTTAGAAAATCATACAAAAACATATTTATAATAAAAAAGTATGTTTATTTTAATTTAATTAAAATTAAAAAAAATAAACCATTCATAAATATTAATTAATTATTACTGAAATAAAAACTGACGAAATTCAACAACTATTAACAAAATCTATCCACAGTAGGATATTAGTAAAAACTATTGATGCCAGTAACACAAAATATAAATTGAAATGTATGATGGATGGATCTGGGGCAGTAAAACATACTATTATCAATTATTACCTGAAAGCCTTCTGGAAAAGCAGAAGGAGCTGGACTTTCAACAGCAGGCGGTGGAGGAAGCTGAAGCCTGTCCCTTATTAGGGCAAGTAAAGTGTCCATTATTGCCTGCAGTGAAGATGCATAGCGCTCCCAAAGCAGCCTTCCCTGCCGCTTCATATACAGGATATCTGAATCAGGAAGAGATCGAACAAAGAAATGAAGCTCAGGTATTCGTGGGAGTGATATCCTTAAAGCTGCTCCTCTCCACCTAACCACCTTAAACAAATTATTAAAAGAAAAATATATCTAATGCATTTAAAAAGAAAAAAAAAAATGTACATATTAATCTGTCATACTGGTTTATTTTAAAGCTCCACCCATTGACAAAACTATTTATATTGTTTTGGGTTAATACATAACAAATATTGATACTTAAATATAGTAAAAAAAAGAAATAGATCTTTTTGAAATAAATTTTAATGAGAAAAGAATACCTCTTCATACGGTAAAGGTGCATCTCCAATAAGAACTGGGACTGCTGCATTTTTTAGAGCTTCATAAAGACGTGCACCAAGCACTGGACTGCTTGATTTTGCAGGTAATAACACAAATGTGCTTTGCTTAATTAAATTAGCCCGAGACTCTTCAGAACCACACAATCCCCACTCTCCAGCACTATTCATAACTGTTTCATCAGCAGAGCACTGAGTTTCGATAAGTATTTCATCAGATGTTTGAGATATATATGATTCCAGCTCACTCACTAGAAAAAAAAGTCTTAATTCAATGGAAATAATAAAAATAATCAAGTTCAAAAATCTAAAACAATAGGGCTGGGATGAGGGATAATTATTACACAAATACTATTTTTTTTAAATAAAATAACTATATAAATTCTTAACCAGAGTCACAGTACTAAAAAATCTATAGTATTTGCAATTAATTAAAATTTATTTCATCTTACTGTTAAAATATGAAGATGAATGAACTGGTGGCACACCCTGGAAAGTAAAAAGGTAACGTCTCCTAGCTGGAAGCATACTAGCTGCATCTGCCCAAACATCGCCGCCTGGTGGTCCTGAAGCAACTCCTAACACTACGTCAAAATCTGAAAATTAATTAAATATCAATGATATAATGCCATTATTTTTATATAAATTTTAATTCAACTGTTGATAGGCTCAAATAATAGTTTTAAAATAATAATAAGAGAATCATAATAATAGATTAAATTAAACATATATGAAATAAGGAGCAAGCCAACTGATTTCAAAGCAAATGTTTTGATTTTCTCGCATATTCGCTCACAAGACTAGTTTCAGGCTCTTCTTCCAATCTTCAGCCAGGACAGAAAGGAATGTTCTAAGCTAAATATGAAGATCCGGACATTTAATTCTGCCTTGGTTATGTGGTTTCCTATTTTAAATAATTAAACTAGAATTGATTCATTTAAAAAACAAATAAGAGCTCCTGCGTTGAGTATAAGATTTATGATTATCAACCCATGATTGTTTTAATCTTTAAAAAGAACAGAAATGTAAATATCAAACAAAAATATTGTAAAATCAAAATTTTTTTTTTATAAAAAGAAATATAAGTTTCTTAAAATTTGTCAATACAACAATTAAATAAATACTTATTATGAGGAACTGGACAATAAAAATTAATTGCTCAAGTATAAAAATAATTAAAAAGAAGAACAAGAATGTATAAATTATACAATATGACATAATAGCATTACAATAGCAATACACAGTATACTTGGAGACCATATAATCATTATTCTCAAAAATCTTGGAATATTCATCAAAATCAGTATTATTTTTTTTATAATATTTGATTATTAAAATATTTAACTTCAGTCACTGATTAAGAATAGATTTAAAAATAAATTCATACCTCTTCTAAAGTGAATGTGAGTAAACTGAGCTATCATAGCACGACCCGTCTTAGTGTTTGGCTCTAAGGAACTTTCCTTTCTAAGGTCACTTCTTGATAAATGAAGAAGAACATGGTTACGACCTAGAAAAACAGTCATAAAAAAACAGTGTTAATTTTAAATTAAACATGATATATACACTCATTAACAGAAAAATAAATTTAGTAACTTTGTAGGAAGTTTTCTTCCAATCATTAATCTGATTAAGGAATAATTTTTTTTTTCTATTGGCATTACAGACCATGTAGATCTTTTGTCGCCTTAATAAGCCTGCTCCATCTCTACCTGTCTTAGGCTATTTCTTTCCATTTATTTGCACACAGCTCTGTTACATCTTTGTTGATTCTATCTATCCATCTGCTTTATGGCCTTCCATGTGGTCTTTTGCCTTCTATTGAGGCATTCATGGTAATATAGATGCTTCCAGATGGAGCTGCATGCCCTGCCCAACCTCCGTGCCTTCATATCATGGGGTATTGATTGACCAGTTTCTCTAAGCAGTTCTTTATTGGACTTTCTTCTCCATATGATAGTACTCTGATCCCAGACCACTCCGGTTATCGTGTGGAGGATTTTCCTCTCAAATCTTTTTCCTTTAACACTTTTTTCTAGGGTGCTGGTTAGTGTTTAGGTCCCACAGCCATATATTAGAACTGGCTTAATCATAGCGTCGTACACCCTTAGTTTGAGATTTTTTAAGATTTTTTGTGATTTCAATACCTTTGAGAGGGAGAAGAAAGCTCTGTTTGTGCTAGTTATACGCTGGTCTATTTCTGCCTGTTGGTCATTCATTGAGGTTATTGTGGCATATTAAGGTATTTGAATTTTTCTACTCTCAGGAATGATTTTCCTTCTACGCAGATCCTGTTATTGTGGTGGAATTTTCGGCTTATTATCATATATTTTGTTTTGTCTTTATTTACTTGTAGGCCGATCTGCTCTGCCTCTCGTATCAGTGTTTTAGCGAGTTTCTCAATGTATTCTTGATTACTTCCAAGGACAGCTATATCATCTGGGTATACAAGGATTTTATGATTCATTCCGACGTGGACCCCTCCATTTTCCTGTGATGTTGCTCTTATTAATGATTAAGGAATAATATACATAAGGAATAATTCATTCAATATATTTATTAGGAAATAATTCATCTAGATAGAATTCAATAAATATATTAAGTAAGCAATAATATTATCTGTTTATAGCAAAAAGGACATAAGTACAATTTTGATGGAGCTAAACGTTTTTGTAAATTTCATTTTTACTTACTAATAAAAAAAATATATATTAAGAGAACTAAAATGACACAAACTATATGTTAAATATAGTTACAACAATCACACTGAAAATCATTTTCTGATTTAACATAGGGAAAGTTCATAAAAATTTTTAGTGATTTAATTGACACTTGATTATTTTTTGCAATAAACCAACAATATATTTAGATTAAATTCAGTAGAAATCTATTTTTCATCAGTTACTTAACCTAAGTATAGTTTTCTAAATACAATACTAAAACTCTATATTTTATTATTAATGTGACTACAGCACCAATTCTAAATAAAAAAAAAACAGACGACAGACGGTGTTCAGTAGATGGACCAATGCTATTTTTAATTCATTTTCTAATGTCTTGAAATCTTAATGTAAAACATCAAATTTTAAAGAGGACTAAAATTTGTTTTTCTTGATTGAGAAAAAGATTAGTTATTGAACCCAAGTTCTACAAACATTCGGAATCCTTTCTTAAATCACATGCAAATACAAGCTATATCTTTTAACATTCAGGTAATAAAAAGGAATTATTTGCAAAATCATTACCAAAATTATTACTAACCATCACCTCCCCAGTAAGGCAAATGCTTAAGACGATCCAAATCAGGGTGTTCACCTTCTCCTATAAGTACAAGATAAATGCAAGCATTGGCAGCACTGGTGGTAAAATGCGGATTGTACCCCACAGTCTGCACAACAGCAGTACGAAGAAACTGAGAAGCAGGAAATGAATTTGTATCGTAAAGGAAAACAGGAAATCCAGAAGCTAATGAACAGCGGGAATGGTCAAAACAACTCGTCATTGTGCAAGATAATGGATTGATAGGAGGAGGAAAATAAGCAGGAGTAGATGAAGCTAAAAGAGGTAAAGGAGGAGCCAACTCAGGGCTGTTTCGCTGAACTGCTTCCTTTTGTGCCACCTGTGCCTATGACAAAATGAATGTGATCAGGTCTATAAGACACAGAAGTTGAGAAAACAATTTAATGATGGAAATAAAATTATTTCTAATAGCTATTAAAGATAAATAAACACAAAATTAATATTCTGTATTAAATTTAATGTACATTTTATTGATACTTAACTAAACAGGGTGTACCACAAGAAGATGACTATTTCAAGATGTCAAATGCCCTACTTAAGTGGTTTTTATTTTTAAAAACGTTTTTTGAAGAAAAAAAAATGTCCATTTTCCTCGAAATAAAAACCTTTTAGGATAGCAACAAGTCTTAATGCTCTTGAATAAGATATTTGATCTCTTGAATATTGTCATCTTGTGATACACCTCATGTCAGGAAAGAAATTAATAATAGTGGTAACGAACTAGACTAAACCACAACCAAAAATAAGACAAAATATACAGGCAGTCATTGATCCAGAAACAACTAGAAACGATAAAATTTAAGTTAAAGTAATACCTGCTGGACCGATAATTTCAGTCTATTCAATTCAGATTGTTGTCGACTTAATTCAGATTTAAGCTGTTCAATTTTATGAGTAAGAGATGCCACATCAGACTGTAATCGTTGTCTTTTAGCCTCAAGGTCACGGAGTTCTGTACTCACTGATCCTGCATTATCAATGGTTTAATGTTGCGATTAAATTTATAAGTTTAGAATTAATATATTATAAATAATATAACACCATTGTTATAACATTCATATGATGTTTGATTATTTATCATGGATCCACACTTCATACTCACTACTGGCCAACAAATATACACTGTTTATACAAAGTTATCTTTTATGAATTAACCATCGTAAAAAAACATTTAAAAAAAGGAGGGAGGAAAAACGAAATTCTCAACTGAACTTCCTTCTTATCAGGTTTCCTAAATTGTTTTTCAGTCTTCAATTAAGAAAATCAAAAACTCTTATTTTAATTCAAAATCAAGTACATTAGAATTATTACAATATCGCAAGTGTATTAAAACTTAATGAAAAATTGTCTCCAATCCAAATAATTTTTTTTTTAGAATTAATGAATTAATGAAAATTATAGATGTGAGAAATAAAAATTAAAAAACAAACAGTCAATTCTTTATCTTTAAATTAGAGCTTTCTTAAGTAAATAATTAAGTTTAAACATCATGCAAACTAACTTAAGTTAAATTATAATAATCGAATAATGTCTAACAACAAATTAAAAACTAATGTTCTACTAAATAATAAACTAAAAAAAAAAAAAATAAGACGTTTCCACATAAAAATATAAACATAATGAAGACATATAGAATCTGTGTTAACTGTGATCATAATACAATCATGAGATAGAGTAAAACAGACTAATAAGTGAAAAAGTTTCATTCATTTTACTTTTTAAATAAATAAAGATGCTATACACAATGCAAACTGAAAATTATTGCCTACAACTGAAGTACAGTGAAAGTGCTCTTTCTTTATTATAATAATATATTTAACAATGGCAAGTTGGTATTAAATAAAAATATGATTTATATATTTTTAATATTCATATCACAATATATATTTTTTTAAGCAAAAGGTACCTTTTATACGAAGCATTTCTTGAATTCGCATCTTTAGATCAGAAGCTTTCAACGAACTATAATCTTCATATGCCTCAAGTTTGGTCCTGGATCGATGAACATCCAGTAAAGGCTTATCCCTATCCTTTTCCACCTAAAAAAATATTTAAAATAATTTAAATTCAGCTAAAAAAAAAAATTCAGCTAGAAATTGATGAACTACAAAACAGTCAAATTTAAATTATAATCATTCGGTTGCCTTTATAAGTTTAGTTGATAATATTCTCAACTATATATTCTAAATATAAAAGTAGTGTGTACAAATTAATATAGCATTAGTCCAAGTAAAAAACGATGTTTACATTATTTTATTCTGAAGAGCATAGAGCTATCACACATACGACCAAACCTCACCAATATACCTATAGTTCGACTGTGATTAGTTAGCAGCCCGAGCGTAAACTCACGTGGCACTAAATTTAGATACTAACATTTTGTATTTTTCCTAAGCCTTCAATATTACTAACAATATATTCAATAAGAAAGGTTAAGTAGAAAACAAAATGTCAAAATTTTGGACTTAGTGCCACACAAGTTCACCTTTGAGTTGAAAACTAATAAGGGTAGAACTTTAGGAATAAATACTTGTACTACTATTATAAATAGAGGATGTGATGCCAGAACTCATTGGTACGAGACTCCTGGAGCACTTGGTATGGGTTCAGAATTGAGTCAGTGAATAGCTATTTTATTGTTGTCCTAAAAAATAATTCAAAGTACACCAACTCTATTTATGACGGGGAAGAAAACTCAACCAATGGATTAGGAAAAAAGACCAATAGGCCCACTAGTAAAATGAGTTCCCATCACCACTAAAATACACACCATTCGTAAAATTCTTAACACTCATAACATCATGTGTAAAGAACTAAGACATTAATACTAGATGGAAAAACCTTACTAAACTTAAAACATTTTGAACAAAAGGACATAAATTTCGTAAAAGAATAAGATTATCAGTACATTTTGCCTCTTATTGGCAATATTTACTCAAGCCTATTTTAAAAAAAAAAAGTATAGACATAAATCTAAGTTAAAGTATTAATATTTAAAATTTTAACTTACATTTGAAATGTAATAATGTGTAAACAAAGGTACAATAACCAGAGCAAGAGTAACTAACAATAATATTCTGGATAATTTTACATTGGCCATCCAATGGTAAATGCTCTCTTTTGTTAATATCATTTATATTGATGGTATTTCTTTCTATCATGTCTTATTTTCATTACTGAAACTAAAGAGTCAATTCTTTTAATGAGATAAATATAACATGATGAAATGGAAAGAACTAACAGTCGTATTCATATTGAAAAACCTCCAAGAAATAAACATTCATTGTTTACTATTTCAAATCAATAACTACTGTAACCTCCAGCAAAAGGTTATGGTTGAAATGACAATTAACAACAAAGAGATATCGTCATATAAGTTCGAACCAATTTATAACTCAATTCTTACAACTTTCTTACAAGAGCTTGAAAAATGCCTCATTTCGTTACTAATGACCTTCTTTTTATAACTGATTGCATACTTCATCGCCAGAACTTATCGCAAACATATATAGGACTTTAGATTAAGGCAAGTTCTTAAATTCAGTGCTGAACTCATCGAAAATCATTCAAACCGTTCCTAAAAACATTTACGTAATTAAAACGTTCCTTTTTTAGAGAATTGAACAGATTCGATGATAAATTGAACTAGGGTCAAGCTGGAAATATCAAATTATTTTGGAAGAAAATTAAACCATTGAGGAGTCACAAAAGTTAAAAAATATTAAGAATCAACTAGGAAAAATTGTTGCTGAAGAAAAGTGTATGTTGAAGGTACGGTGAAAACATTACGAAAATCAATTTGGAAATGAATCTGTGAAACCTGGGATGAGAAATTAATTTTTACAGAATGAAATATAATACCATAAATTCCAAACACAAAAAAGGCAGTCAGGCACAATACTTCAACTACAAACCCATATGTTTATCTCCAGTGGAGTATAAATTGTATACGTCCCTACTTGAAAGAAGACTGAAACCTTTGGAGGAGCCACACAAGGAGATGAACAAGCTGGTTTTAGACCAGGACGGCAAACACAAAATCACTTATTCTTTTTCAGAAATATACTCAACATATCCTGGAATCGGGAATAAAAATATATATCTCGCTTTCCTTGATCTTCGAACAACGTTAGACTAGGTTCCAAGAGACGAATTATTGGAAGCTCTGGGAGCTAAGAATGTCCTAAGAACCCTGGTAGAAACCAATAAGTCCACATACCAAGACCCAAAAGAATTTAAAAGGCTAAATTAACAGACGTCTGTGTACTTTAACATAGCTTAATGAGTTCAACGAGGTGAGTCTTAGTTCTTTGCTAGTCATACTATATGGATGAAATAGCGGCAATTTGCAAAAGGCAAACTGATAGAACGTTCTTGAAGTACCTAGATGGTCTAATGGCTCCTATGCAATACTGTTATATTGAAAGTTCCCGATTCAAGATTGACTCTATTACATAAGGGCGGGCTGGTTGAGCGAGCTAATTCGTCTGCACAGTATATTTGACATTCAAAAAGCTGAGATTTTGAGTAACATCGGCTGCATATACTCAGGAGGTGACTTTGGCATATGCGTGTTTTTGAATCATCATGCAATATAAAATTAAACTATTTTTGTGGTAAAAAAAAAAGTGAGAATTTGAATCGCGTCTGCCACGCGTAAACAGCGGACATTTTTTGGTGGACGATTAATTTTAATAGGTGGATTTAACTGCAAAGCAAGTTTTTTTTCTGTAATTCTACTCGACAATACCTTTCCAATTATAAAAACATTTTACCGCTACTATGTACGTAGACGGATTAAGAACAAGAAAGTACTTATCTTTTTATACATAAATTATTTGTATAAAATGCTCATATGGGTGGGATATTTGGAACGGGGGGGGAGAGTATATAAGTGTTAAAGACATTTATTGTTGATTTAATAAATGAATATATATTTATTAAAAAAATAATCACGAAATATAATACATTAAGTACTTTTTTATTATTTATATAAATATTATTTAATTTGGACATCTGTAATTTGAAAGTGTTTCTACTCTCAAAGGCTGTGGATTTTTGAGTGCAACGTACATGTCAATGCCGCCATTTATACTCTTCGTAACGGTTTTTCAGTTTTAAGTGTCGGTTAAGAACAAAAATGAGTGCTGCGATTAGGGACATTAATGGGTAAATACATTTAACGGTTTTAAATAATATAATATAGAATTACTATGCCAAATTTTGGAATTGTCATTCTCCTGTATAAGTTGGTTCTCCAGTTTTAATATTATATTTTGATATTTTTTAGTCATGTTGCGGACCATTTAAGTGAAAGAATACGAACGATGACATTTTCTTTAATAAGTGATTTACTGTCAAAATGGAAAGCTATGTACGATTTAACAGAAGAAGAAAAAGACCGACGGATTGAGAAATTAATGATGTATGTAAAGGTAAGTACTCAACTATTGACATTTCAATTTTATACCTTAATTATAGAAATATTTTCATTGTATATATGATGTAGCCAGTTGCTTGTTTTTCTCAACTTTTGCCACTATTGAATTGACTGTTTCTACTGGCTAACTAGACTTCTGTCAATTTTTATGATTTTAGTTGTCATAGTTATCTTGTGTTTTCTAATGACATTGCTCTTGTATAGGCCGTTTATCATTCTTCTGTATCATGCTGGGCAAGACAAGTTTGTGCTTGCAGTCTAAGTTTAACCACCATCCATTTATTTGTCAGTTGCTGCAAAACTCTAGTTCTGTTGAACTGGAAAAAAAATTTGATTTTTTTGGGTATCTTTCACTACTAAGAGTACTACTTACAATCTCTCTTATCTCTCGGATATTTTTGAACGCATGAAAAGGCTGTACCATAAAGCTAATAACAATTAAGGTTGTTGCTGTTAATGTAATTGTTCAGCTGTGTAAGAGTGTACCTATTGGTGAGTATACAAAATCAGTAGAAGTTAAAATGGTTAGAGTTTGAATAATTGGATGGAAGGTTCTAAATTATGATCTATAATGAAAAAGCTGTTGAAGAGAATACAGTTAGTCAGAGAACTGTTAAGTATTCTGAAGGCTAATGTTGAGACCTTTCATGTTCCGAGTTCAAGAAAAATGTAATCCAACACCAGACACTCTTACTCTGTTAAAACTGAAACAAAAAAAACAAACATGTAAATCAAAAAGCAATAGCCCATTATGGAGATAAAGCTGCAGACTGATGTAAATACAAAATATCTTAATGCATCTTTTTTATAAGAAGAAAAATGATTGTATTTTGCTATTAGAAGAAATTAAAATGAAATGTATGTCATTAATTATTTTTTTATTTGTTTAGTAACTCTGCATCTATCCAAGCGAATCATTGGATTGTGTTCGGAAAATAATGCAGGATTTTGAGTTTTCTTTAAAATACTCCTCTATATAACAATCTGTTTGCTTTTACTGGATTGTTCTTATATATGAATGTCAAGATTTATTAATACTCTTCCACGACATTTTTTGAAAATGCTCGTTTACTTCTGTAACATTTCGCTGCTTAGATATAATTCAGTCTTTACAATGATGTCAATGCATGATTTTTGTATAATTTTTTTTACCAGTTTACGCTTAATCTGAATGGGGCCTAGACATCCCAAAACATCAATCATGTCTAGGGCGAGAGCAGTATTAATAAGTTCACTGTTTAACAGTGGTTCGAAAAATTTCAAGAAGGAGACTTCATTCTTGAAGACAAAGAAGGTCATGGCAAGACTTCTTCTCTTGATGATGATGTTCTACGGACTTTGATGGAAGAAAATCCTAGAACAACTTTTTCGAGAACTTTCTAGGAAAATTAGCCGTAGCAAATCTACCGTTCATGACCACCTCAAGGCGATTGGGAAGGTAGAAAAGGTTGGAAGTTGAATTCAACACACATGAAACGACCACCTTAAAAACCAGTGATATGAAGTTGGTGCTACACTTCTTTGGCGAAACAAAAATCGTTGCTTTTGATATAAAGTCGATACTTTACAATAACAGTAGACTTTCTGCTGGACAGTGGCTCGACAAAGGTGAACTACCAGAACATTTTGCAAAGCCTCCAACTCATAAAAAAAAAATCTGGTGAGGGCAACACACAACTTTCACTTAACTGCTCAACTTTGAATAGAAATTATTTTTGGCCATATTGGGCTATTATGAAATTTTTGAATTTCATTTTTAACGTATCTGAAGCTACAAAATTACATCTAACAAATCATAAATACCATTAAAATAACCAAAGTCCTATTTATTATTTCACCGGTTGATTATGGATTGCACTATCAATTGATTAAGGATTGTAATAAAATTATTAAAATACAGGAAATATATTTAAGGTTATAAACATATGCATGAAATGATTTTATATTTTATTTCTTCTTTTACACAAGTACAATGAAATAGTTATTTAAACAATGGTATTGCCTTTATAAGGTGGATTTTAAATATTTCTTTCAAACTTAAAGATATTTGAAAAGGTTGCATTTAATTAGTAAATTTCCTTGAAAACATATGATTTACGTTAAATATTATTAGTTTTCAAAAAATATTATTTATAATTTTTTGGCCAATCTCCGTTTTCTTTTACAACTTTCTATATTCGATATTGTTTTTTCTAAAATTGTCCACTTTCCAACGATATATTATACGTATGTCTTCGGACTAGTATTTTCAGAGATTCATTTTCGACATGGATAAGCATTTTTATTTTTGTTCTCCTTTATTCAATTATCAAATTCTTTCAAAAGTTATATTCAGCATTTTTTCATAACTTTTAATAATGAGAGATAATTGATTTTTAAAATAAGCTATATTAAAGGTACTTTAGAGGAAGACGCATATGAACATTGGGCATTTAAGCCCTGTAAAGTGACATCAACGGGGATAAGACCTAAATAGTATTCAAGACCATTTAATTATAAAATGATACGCTGAGTTTAATCAAAATCGTTAGAGCCGTTTTGGAGAAGATTGTAAAAATGTGTTTCAGCTCTCATATAAAATGGCACTTCCGGTTAGCGAAAAAGTTGCTGTCACATCTGGCCCATATACAAACCTTAAATACTTAATATCAGTTTCGTACTACTTTTCGTTTATGAGCTAGACTGTTAACACACACAGACCATTATGCGACACTTGGTTAATTGGACCTCAAAATATGTATTTCCGTTGATAACTGAGATTCGAAAATTTTCACAATCGCAATACTTACACTTACTATATATTTCATATATAAGTAAGTGAAAGTCAAAAGGTGATGGTTTGGTGGGCTTCATTTGGTTTATTACACTACAGCTATTTAAATCCTGGAGAAACCATCAATGCTGAATCGTATTGTAACCAAATTAATGCATTAGATCAGAAATTGCCAATAATGAAGCCATCTTTGGTCAGTTGGAAGGGACTCATTTTGTTGCATGACAATGTCCGGCCACATGTCTCACGGGTCAGGTCACAAAAACTATTGCAGCTTGGAAATGAAACTCTGCCCACTGTCCGGACCTCTCACCTATGGAATTTCATTTTTTTTGACACCTGGACCACTACTTACATGACAAAAAATTTAATGGACAAAGGTAATTAGAAAATCTGTTTTTGGAGTATATCGATTCTAAAGATAGGAAATTCTGTTCTTAGGGAATGGCAAAGTTGCCAATAAGTTGGTAGAAATGTATTGACAGTAGTGAAGACTATTTTGATTAAGTTATAAATCTTTATTTTTTTCTTTTTAAACCAAAATCCTGCATATTTTTAGGACAACCCGATAACTAGTTACTAAAATTAAAATAAATTGATAGGATCAGGTAAATTATATTGTGTACTTTATCTTATTATTCATAATGATGATGAGCTTAGTAAACATTACATTTTTTTTTTTAAATGCTGTTTTTTGTTATTATTATTATATAGACACTTTATATTTGTTCTTCTAAATATATGATTAGCATCACTGGGAGCATCATTCTATATTTTGTATAATCTTCAGTTTAACATTGTAAAATAACCAAATTTTTAAAAGCTTTTAGCCTGTTCAGTGGTAGTAAAACTGGTCACCTATAATATTTTAATTATTAATATTTTATTTGATTATAATTGGCTGTTTTTTAAATGTATTATTTTAAATAAAATAGACGGAAAAAAATAGGTCATTTTTTTACTTTTACTTATTTATTAGATAACCTGTCACATGCAAATAATTCACAAGATAAAACGGGTGGTAATATCAGTACGTCAATGCAATAATTTTTAAAATTTGATATATTAAATTTCTTTTATTGAAGGTTCATTATTTAAAATAAAACCACAACATGTATAGTGAGTCCAATAGACTTTGTATTTGCTTATAACAGTCAAAATTCAAGAAGTTGTTTTTATTTATTATGTAAAGTACTTATAGTTTGTGTGCAAATGAAGTATTGTTTTCTCCATTACTTTTCCTTGCTTTTTGGGGGAATACACTTACTCTTCAGCAGTAGCTTAGAAGATAATCATCAAAATGGTGATAATCTCAATCATTGATTTTAATACACTATTAAGAGAAAAGATGTGGCTTATCCTCAAGGAAACACCTTGAAGAAGTTATGTATAAAGATTCTTCATAATTATATGAACCAATGTTTACTATTTTTCTTTTGTTTATTATTTGTTGAACTACGTCTAAATACCTCTTAAAGGTCAGGATTTCTCATATTTTAATTTGTAGCTCTTCTATTTAGCTTAGATCTGAAAGTTTATTTTATTTTTTTAACTTACTCTTATTTCTCTACTTCTGTATGTTTTATAATCATTTTTTTTTTTTTTAATCTCAGGGATTTTATGATGAAATTGCTGAAAGTGAAGAAGAAAAGAGAGTAGAAATGTTAAATAAAATAGAACATAAGTTGCAGGAGTTCTATAAATTACAGAAGGTACTACATTATTCAATCATATATTAGAAATTTTTTATGTCTGTAAAATATATGCAAGATTTTATAATAAATAATTACATAATTGCCTCTATGTAAAGGAATTGGATATGTACGATGAAATATTTACAATGGATGTGAAAGAACCTTACACTGAATTTTTAAAAGAAGTCGAGAAGTCAATGGCTCGATTTGTAGAAGAGAAGGACAAAAGATTAGAAAGGTTGAAGAAACTGCTAGTTGAGGTACGTCGGAATACATTATGTCAGATAAATAACAGAAATACTGAAGTTACCGCACTAACTTTAATTAACTATTTTTCCTTACAGGAACAAGAACTCTGCTTGGCTCTTGGATGTTCTCCTCAGCAACCTTTACCTAATGCTGTGCCTTCAGAAAACCAACTTGATGCATTGCAGTTAAGAATATTTGAGCTTAACGAAGATAAGGTTAGTAATTTAGTACTTACTTTATTAAGTTTCTTGTTAGGAAAATGATTAATTAATTAATTAAGGATGATATATGATCAAGATCTGGGCCTTGAGTAATTTTTGGCATTGTTCTATCAAAATAGTTTTTGTAAAACTTCATCAGGGATGGACAAAATTGGAATCATCTGTCTCACCAGCCATGCTATAAAAGTTTATTCAGAGCTATTAGTCACTTATGAGAAACTATTACCTTTGATTCTTAAAAAGTGTGATTAAAAAATAGATTGTTCAGCAAGAGTTTATTCCATATATATCTTCAATTAGAAAAATTTAAACTTGAAACATCAAATCAATCAAGACCATGCTATGTTACAGTCTTATTTATGTACAAGTATCAACAAAACTTATCTCAAAGCCGTTAAATCTAAATATACATGACAGCGGGATACAATTGGTATCATAAATTATACCTTAACATGATTTAATTTCTATTGAACATCTACATTAAATAATATGATGTGACCCTAATTCTATAACTTCCTAATTGCAGTGAAGTATGTCTGAAAGTAGTTTTAGAATTAGAGCCATGAAAACAGTCTCAAAATTGACGAAAACTACACAAATATAATGAATTCATATAAATAAATAATTTTTCAAAACTTTTTTGAATTATTAGATTTAGGTCCCTACTGTTATTGCATAGTTATTCAGATTGTTCATGACATAGTGACTTGTCACAATTGTTTCATTTGTATGCTTCTTCGTTTTCTTTATGAACTGACAGACGGATTTCTCTCTTCTCCGGTTTAATTTTTCTGTTGAGTGGAAAATCCTCTCTGTCTTCATTTGACTTTGTTTGATCTTATAAGCCATGACCCATATATTGTAAGATATGACCCATTGATAAAACCAATGTCATCTTATCAGGAATTAGTAAATGTAACACCTAATATTTTTGAAAATTAAACTTTTACATTTATATATATATATATATATATATATATATATATATATATATATATATATATATATATATATATATATAAATAAAAACCTTGATAGATCATTTTACTTTATGTCTAAGAAAAAAATAGATTATTCAGAATATTATAATAGCATTTAAAGCTTGTCACTAATGATTTTAATGGTTTCGTTCAGATATGTCGTCTGAGGACTTATGTAGATTCACGCTCTATCATCACCAACTTGACTAAAATACTGGAACGTGAACCAGCTACATTGTTTGAGAAAGATGTTCACATGAATACTGAAGAATCTTTCCAGCCAACTGCAGAAAATATGAAGAAATTGGAGGTAATTTTTTTTATAACTCTTAATAATTTGTTATGACACATTTTCTTTTAAATTAATGTATCATCGTTAATTTCCTCGCTCATTATTCCATTATTTTCATTTTAATAAATCTAAAATAGTACAGTTCTTTGTTTTCATTATCTGTTTCTAAGTGTCCCTTGTACTTCTAAGGTACAGAACTATTTTTGATGAAACTTATTATTAGCTAACTTAAGTTATGTAACAATTGATTCATAGTTGCATTAGACAGACTTTAAAAAAATATATATTATTGTTCGTAAGAAATTTTTTAGCCTTTAGGAGGGGAGGGCGCTCTCTTGTCTGGAGTGACCTGTCTCGGCCCGACTTAAAAAAGTAACTTCGAATGAATAGATAGTTGTCTTGGTGGAAGACAACACCCTTCCGATCATTCATAACTCTTCAGAATGTTCTCCAAATTCAATGTTTCCATATCCGTTAAAAAGCTGAATTATTGTTCTTCAAAGCCCTATGAATGGTTTTTTTATTTAATGCCTACATAAGGAATGAATATATACAAAAATTCCTTATAGGAATTATCCCATCTCCATTTTTAGTTTGTTAGGGAAGGTCCTGTTGATTTCATTTTGTTTAATGTATGTGGCCCTAAATTCTTGCTAAATTTCTTGTATATAGCTGAAGTCTTATTTAAGTTATAACTTTTTTGTGATTCTCAAAAAAATCATGTGAGGGACCCAAACTTTAAGCCTGGAAAAACAGCCAAGCTTGTGCAAATGGTTTTCTATGCTTGTGTGCGACACATTTAGGACCATAGCAATCTCTCGCACAGATTGGGTGGGTTTTGACCAACAATGGCCTTAACATTGCTCATTTCAATATCATATGGGCGACCAGACCGTTAAGCATCATTGATGTCTAAATTTCCTAAACAAAATTTGGCAAACTAATTTTGACGGGTGTGTTCGGTTAAGGCCTCACCTCCATGAACACTAAATTTTTCTATGAGCTTCTGCAGCACGCTTATCTTTTTTAAAATAATACATCAAAATATGCTGATAATGAATGATATTTTCTTCCATATTCACAGTGTAATAGCAAACACAATACTAAGATGGTTTCTACTAAAGTTAACAGATATAGTTGTTGACATATTACAAGCAGGATAAACAATCCACCTTAGGAATTAATTCATCAGATAAGAAGTGTATCCTTGTGACATAAAAATTAACAGAAAAACCGAAAGTACTTATCCTTCGCAACGCTTTAGACTGAAAAGTCTGAATTTTTTTAATGTTTGAGGGTTTAGCAGAATCCCACAGTTCTGAAATATAAATCCAAATTAAGGAGAAACCAAAATGAGATTAGTTTTTCATGCCTGGAAAGACTATCGAAAAAAACGAATTTTCATAGCAAAAAAAAAAGCGATGTATGTCTAAACATTTTTAAATTATTATCAAAATGACAAAATCTATCGGTTTTCGAGATTTGTCAAATATTTTCTACCTTGAATGTTCTGAAGTTGTTGGTGGTGAATTTTCACAAGTCTCATACATCACAAATACAGCGTATTACTGGAGGTACAACTTTACAATATCATGTGAAGACATTTTGAGCTTTTGGGTGGTTATAATAATTTCAAGGAAGACTCATTTAATTTCTGTTCAAAAGAACGTTGTTGTTTTTCTTTGTTGTCAGGAACAAGTAATTATAACTTTTATGATCTCAATGGATTGGAACTATTCATAGTAGTTAATCTTTCTTGGCTGGATCAATTAAAAACAATTTAAGAACACAAAATAGTTGCAGTAAACTTTGTTCAGTTCCCTTTCTTTCTATTCTAAAACTCCTAAATTATATTCATATAATTCCTAATTCCATGAACTTTTTTATTTATTTATTATCGTTAGAAATAACCAAGTTAGTATTATATATTATATGAATAATTGAATTCCTGTTCAATCAAACCTAGGGCAAGAACGGTTCCATTGTATTTAAATTGTCATATATTAGTTTTTTGCCATTGATTGTGTCTATAATTTTTATTTACTAAATATTTACCATTAATTTCAATTTGTGATTTGTTGTTTTCAGAGTTTAAAAACCATGCTAGAAAAGTTACACGAAGAGGCCATTATTAAACGTGAGGATTTATTGGAAAAATTGGCCAAGCTTTGGGACCGTCTGAAAGTTGATTCTAGTTATAGAGAAGAATTTCTTTTCAAATATCCATCAATATCTAGGAGTAACATGGAAGCAGTAAGTAGTTCCATCTGTTGTTTAATTTAGACTCTATTACTGTTGTCATTATTAGGTTAATAGTTTTAAGTGAAGTAGCTTGTATTGTTTCAATAAATTTCTCGAAAATTCCCTCCATTAAAAAAAATCCTTAAGGATATTTTCATATTCTGTAATGACAAGACTTTTTATAAATTTTTTTTTTTTTATTGATCTTGTCACATTGTACTTCAGATTAAAACATTTTTAGGAACTATAAAATATTGGTAATTTATTTGCCTCATTGTATATTCGTTCAAATAAGTAGAGGTTATTGTTACACACTTATTGTAAAATAAAAGATCATCGAAGAATTCATTATGTGATATTACTTGTTAAATGTTGCCTTATCTTTAAGCTTCTTTTAATTTGTTTAATTTCTTTTAATATACAACCAATAAACATGTTAAATTCATTACAGCATATCCTTTAAGGATTTCTGTTTATATAATGGTTTTTTTTTTTTTATAGATTGAGCGAGAAATAGATCGTTGTGAGCGCCAGAAGCGTGAGAACATGCGCCAAGTAATAGAGTCTGCTAGAGAACAAATTAGGGAACTCTGGGATAAATTGACCTATTCAGATGAGCAACGACAACAGTTTAAACATTTTACTACTGATCATTACTCTGAAGATGTATTGGATCTCCATGAAATTGAAATAGAAAGGCTAGAGCTTTTCTATCTTCAAAACCAGTTAGTAAAATTTAAATTAATTGTATTTTACATAAATTTCTTCCATTAAAATGGCAGACTAGTTGTTAGGTACGTTTGTAAGTACTTATTTTTAGTTATAAGAATTTAAACAGTAAAATCAATAAAACAATTATATTCTTATTACAAATAAATAATGTTATAATAAATTCATAAGGGTGGAATAGGATGAACTTTTTAAATTAATTTTATATATATATATATATATATATATATATGAAGTCCATATTAGGATCTGATGCAATGTCTGGAGTGTATGCAACAATTGATCCTACCATGTTTTTTTTATAAAACAATTAAATATACCAGAGGCCCACTTATCCCCATATTTGCTGCAGTACTATTTAAGATTATAGCCTGTGACGGTTCAGTCAATCTAAAATTCATGGGCCAATAGGACAACCTCTGGTGGTATCATGCCACAATAGCCGATTGTTTGATTTTTCAATGGAGCCAGGCTGGATGTTTGTTTCATGGAGCTTTCCTTATCACTTTTCTTTTCAGTTTTAATTATTTATTTATTCATCTGTAGTTTGCCATTTCCTTGTTTAAAATTGTGGAGGATTTATTTCATTCTTTTTAATTTTATAAAAAAAAAAAATACATCAAACCCAAAACCTGAGTGGTCTATTTCCGGTACAAAATGCACTGTCAGAATTTCCCAAGTTTTTCATAAATAACAAACGAATTGACTGTAAAGAAAAAACGAAATTGGTAAAGAACTTAATTTTCTATCAATTAAACCCATTTGCAAAGATCCATCGTTAGAGCTTAACTTGTGAATCAAATTAATGTTAAAAAGTTCTCTTGTAGTGTTTATTACTGAGTACATTTACCCTTTAACTGAGTATATTTACCCTTATTGATTTACTAATTATTTTTATCAATAAATTACAATCATAATTATTATTTCAGAGTAAAATCCTTTCCAAAGGCCTTGTATGTAACGTAAATTTAAATATAATTGATAATTTGGAAGATATTATAGCCTTAACACTGATAACAGTCCTCTTAAAGAATTCACTATCACTTGAATTACTATCTGATTAGAACCGAACTCACTTTTCACTTGTCTCTTCTGCTATTCATAACTGAATAGTTTTACTAACTACCTCAACTTGAAAAGGTTTTTATGGCCTATAAAAAGTTGTATGCCCTACATGACCATTCCCTTCAATCCCATTGGTCAGAAACCATTCAATCTAGAATCTTCTTATTTTAATAATGTAGTCAAAGGATTTTTCTAATAGATTTTTTTTTTTTTTTTTAAGGCATATCTTTGAACTTGCTGAAAAAAGGAATGAACTCTGGGAGAGGATGCTTCATCTAGATTTCATTGCACAAGACAAAACCAGACTTTTTAATAACAGAGGAGGTCAATTGTTAAAGGAAGAAAAAGAAAGGAAGGCCTTAGAAGTGGTAAGCTATTTATTAATTAGAAACTTGTCCTTCCCTTTTGGTGTCTTCTGGTGGAGGAGGGAAGGCCGAAAAATCTTTAGTATTTTAAGCAAATTTTCATCCTTACAAAATGATAGTACTCCTGATAGGTATTATCGAAAAATTCAAAATTTAGGGACATTTTAAGAAAATTTTCTCTTAGTCGCTTGAAGATACAATTTTGAATAAAACATCAGTACAAACAGAAAAAAATGCTGGACATTTCCATTTCAGTATCCAGATACAAATTTTAGTTTCTAAGATATTTTAATCCATTTGCGAAAACACTCAAATTGGCTGACTCACAAAACGCATCTGGCAGACGAGCATTTCCGTAACACCTCACAGGAATACTATCAGCCTATAAGGTTGAACATTTGTTTAAAATACTATGGCTTTCTGGTCCCTGGCTCCAGCTTCGACAATATTGCTTCTTAGGAACTTCAGACCACATGGTATAAAAAAACTTACCTAATTCATTATATTTCTCTTAAGGAGTGTTTTGTTTCGGTCTGTATGTGAAGTCTGCAGAAACATGTTTTATAACTTCTTTTTTTGAGTTAGTTGCACAAGCATTAAATCCATGAATTCTTATTATTTCTTTCTTTATAACTGTTTCTATGTTTTTACTGATTAGTTGTTTTTATTACAAAATGTGATCAGGGACTCATCCATACTGATGTTTTTAGTTGAAGACCAGTCAATTTTACCTAGTTTATATTTTCATAGAGAAAAAAAAAACACATCAAAATTTATCAGCTCTATAGCTCTGTTTTATAAGAGGTACATCAAAATATAAGAAAAAATTTTTTTGATTGTTTGGAGGAGAAGCTTATTTTAAGTTACCAAAAAATTGTTTTTTTCTGTATCTTTTCTCTAAATGCAAAATGAATCTGTTTTGAAATATTGACTGACTTTTACCCAAGAATTGGATCATAATAGTATGAGATTTTATAGTCAGCTAGAAACTCCAGTAGCTCTTTTTCTACTATTAATAATTGTCATTATTATTTATTAATAACAAATCTGACATTCTCCATCGGGACACAGGAAAGAATGCCTCTTCAATGGAGATATAGGGTTATATGTTGTCCTTGAGAACAATTGGAATTTGCCAACTACCGAGGGATTTCGTTATTGCAATGCCCATGTAAGATACTCTACAACAGACTAGCCCCATTCGCTCATTGTCAAACTTGAAAATATCAAATTGTTAGAAAGCTGGTCGAAAAGGTAGATCAAATATTCACTCTCTGAACGATACTAGAAAGAAGTCATGAGTATAAAATTCCCATTCACCATCTGTTTATTGACTTCAAGAGCGCCTATGATACCATAAGGAGACACAAGTTGTATGAAGCAATGGGAGAACTAAACATCCGCTCCAAACTAATTTGTCTGGTAAAAATGACAATGCAGGACGTACAGTGCAGAGTACGCATTCTTTCGGAATGCTCCTCACCCACCAATAAAGGATTGAGAGAAGGTGATGCTTTGGCATGTTTAAATTTCAAATTGCTCTGGAGAAGGTGATTAGGGAATCTGGCATTCTGACTAGGATCATAATACTTATAGTGCAACTATTAGGTTATGCTGACGACATTGATATGACGGTCCTTTGCAGCTCTCGAAGATGCCTTCCTTGAATTACAAAAAGCTGGAGCTAAGATTGGGCTTCTGTGTATACAGGAGAAGTAGAGAATCCCCAAAACCTCAGAATATCTCTCTGTCCTTATACCTTTGAGAATGTTCAACAGTTCCCTTATCTGAGATATCAAATTACGACATAAAATGAGATGTCACTTAAAATAAAGCGGAGAGTAGCAGCATGGACCTTAACAAAAAATGATGAAAAAGACTTTTTGGTCTTTAAAAGGAAAATACTTAGAAGAATATTTGGCCTTTTAAAGGAGGGACTGGATTGTAGAATTCGGATGAATAGAGAGGTCTACGAATTGTTTAATGAACCTAATGTGGCTAGAATAATAAAATTAGGAAGGTTGAGTTGAGCGGGACACATAGCTCGAAGAGAAAGATCTGAAATCCTGAAAAGAGTGCTTGAGAAGCCATTACACTGACCAGGAGAGCTGGTGGACCGTGATTGATATCGGCAGGTGTTGCTAGAGATCGGTTGGGAGTCAGAAACTGGAAAGTGGTTGCACAGAATAGAGAAATTTGGCAGAAGCTCATTAAGGAGGCCAGGACCCACTCAGGGTTGTAGAGCCATTAAGACAGATACTATAAGATAGTTAAAATAACAAACCTGACTGTTAAATTGTTTTAATAATGCCCGCTCTATCACTATTGATAATCTCTGGGCATTACTATTACTGCAGACCATATTGCAAACACATCTGCTCGAAAAATAGGGTTATGTTTACCTAATATGTACTTTTTAAGTTAGATTACTATAAGATAATTTTTAAATCCTCTATAAATGTTCTTGCGCCTGTTAGGACTGCTTGAATCTTTTCATGATGTCTCTGTAAGACAGCAGGTTGCTGGTTGTCTTTTCTAATTCCTACTAGGTCTTTTGCCCATTTCTGTGCATTAGAGGACTAATAACTTTATTTAAAAAAAAAAATGAATCAAATTTAAAAAAAAACAAATTTAGTGGATGATTCATTTCTACTAAATGCATTTTTCTTATCATTTAATCACTGATTCTTTGTTTTTGTTCTTTCAGAATTTGCCAAAGGTAGACAAACAGCTAAAGGCAGCCCTGCTGGAATTTGGAGAACCATTCTATTGGCATGGACATGATCTTTTACAAAAAATTACTAATGACTGGGAAGAGAGGATTGCTGTAAAGGAATCAAAAAAATTAGCCAGGGTACTTAATAATAACTAATTTTAGTTTTATTATAATTTGTTAATTGTTACAGGTTTTTGTTTAACAGATAAAGATGATTTTGTTGACGAATTATTATGATTTTGAAACGCTTCAAAATTTAAATCATCATTTGGGTGTTAGATATGTTTTTGACACTTTGTAATTTTAATTACAAATTACCATATTCGGATTCTTTTATTACTAGGATTAAATGATTGTTTGTGATGTTCATATTATCTTTTTTCAATGTTTGTTAAAAACAGTTCTTAATTTTATTGTTGAAATTTTGTTTTGTTTTTTATCCTCGCTTTTTTATATTGAATCTTCCGACTGTAAGCTGATGGATATAATTAAATAAAAATCTTGGTACATTTTTCGTACATAGTCACTACTCTCCTTCCCTCTCCTGCTTTGACAGATTCTATTAATTATTGTTCTAAATCTTATTTTATATTAAATATTACACCATTTTTGAGGAACTCATATTTCTGATTTTATTATAAAGATTAGTTACCTTAAGAATCATCCAATACATGCTTTCTGAAGTGCTTTTTATGAAGCTACATATTAATTCGTCTTATTAATTTTAATAATACCTAACTCAATTTTGATGAAAATAAGTTAAGTAGCTAATTGAATTAGTTTCTTCTAATCCGATCGAATGTTTAACATGAATTTATCTATTGAATGATTCCAAGACATACTGAGATTGAAATATGTTATTATAAGATCATTAGTGACAGAATTAGGCAGTTTTTTTTATCTCTTACAAAGCTGTGAGAATTGTGTTAGGAAATGTTGTGATTTATATGGTCTATTCTTTGTACGGTATATTTAATATTGCTGAGCAGTCTAAATCCTCTGTGATGTTTGGAGATTGAAATTAAACAATATGATGATTTTATAAATGTGTTCAGAAATGTTACTGTCTATATGTCACTTAATTTAGATGTATTATAAATACATTTGTGCTTGTTTAATGTGAAAAATTTTGAATATTATAAAATGAGGCTCTGTTTATTTTTTCACCATATTTATTTTAATTTTCATAGCTACGTTTCGGGCGGTGAGCCATCCTCAAGCCATTTCATTCAACCATGCGTTTTGCATGTAGTCCAAAGTCTAATTGAAGAATTAGAATTTGCACTAAATGCAAAAAGCATGGTTGAATAAAATGGCTTGGGGATGGCTTACCGGCCGAAACGTAGCTATGAAAATTAAAATAAATATAATGAACAAATAAACAGAGCCTTATTTTATAATATTATAAATACATTAGAATCTTTCTGAAGAACCCATAGTTTAATTGGATGCTTTCTGTATTAAATGAACGTATTGTATAAAGCAATACGTTCATAAGCCCAAAAATTTATGTGTAATAGGCTAAATGTAACCTCCTCTTCCCCCCCCCCCTCCACCAAGTTTACATTGTTGTTAAATTGTTAACATTATTTTTTTCTTATTATTGTACTTAATTTTTAAATTTTGAACCTTGAGTTAATTTTTGGAACCACACTCAAAATATAAGTTATTTAAAGAGAGGGGAGAGGCAAGTTAAACATAAAATTAAATCTGCAAATGAAAAAAAAAAAATGCATAAATCATAAATGCTGGTATGGTCTAATAATTATTATAAGTTAAGAATATGAAGTTGTTTGTGAATCATGAGACCTCATAAGGGCCGTTTTTAATAAGTTGTTGACGCAGAATATCTCCATACGATATAGCACGTGTTGCTATATGCAGATAGCTATTAAATATACAAGTATTTACATATTTTTAAAGCACACACTACCAAATGTAAGGAAAGTAAAGAATAATTGGCCAAATACAAATAATAACTTCTTAAAATCAATAATAGTTCTCAAGAAAGTAACGGGAAAAATACTATGTGTAATAAATTTATAGAAAATTCTTCATTTAAACTTTTTAAAATATTAGGGTGTTATATCCTTGGTTTTTGTTCAAAATAAAATTGAATAGCATGTACCTGCTTTAGTATGATATGAGTTTTATCTATGTTTTACTGATTATTTGCTATTTTGAATCAATAGTATAGATTAGCTAGATAAACATTATGAATTCTTAATTGCTGAAAATCATAGTTGTGTATTTTATTTGAAATTTAGCTTATCACTACTGCCATTATAAAGTAAAATACATTGCGAAAACCATTTATATCTTGTGTGAGGTGATGGTAGTTTTTTATTTATTTTAAAATATGAGCTGCTTATTTATTTGTTCATTTATACAAATATGTAGGTATTTATGTTGCATATGTAGAAATTTGAGAATCAGAAGGCATTGGAAACTGAAGCCATGTTGGGTAGTCGTCCAGCAGCAAATCAGCAGAAGAGGAAGGGTTTGCCGCCAACGGGTGGAGGCCAGCCAAAGGCGAGGAGGTGTGACCTGGCTGATCGCACCGTTACTCTCAAGGTCGGATATAGTAATCTTGGTAACAGTAGAAGTGTAGAGCATGGTTTAGAAAGCGCTATTAGCAGAGAAAATGTAGGTCAGTTCTCTATTTCTATTCTTCCTTCTTGCATGATCTTTTCTCTTTCCGGACCAGAGCTTTGTTGGCATGTGACTGTACTAACTGGGTATCTCTTTTAATAAACAAATTTAAGTTCACAGTCTAGGAAAAGGCTGTTGTATTGATTTCGTCTTCCTTTTTTTTTCTCCAGTCTTGCTCTTATTAACTTTCTAGTGCACGATTCCATTGTTACCATTAAAATGAATTGCTTGTTTGTTATATAATTGATTTATCCCACTAATTCTTAATAATTTTTCCATCCAATGTACTTTCTCTTAGATATATTAAAATTTCGTTTGACTGTTAATTAATGCTTCATTCTTAGAAGAATAACGCTTATATTCTGGAAGAGATCCCTAAAATGTATTTACTTCTTATACAAATCTGCAGTTACAGGAATTATTTATAGAATTAATTACAGCAGAATATATTTAGATATATATTCAGAATATATAGCACATACAGAATATATTTTGCTTCTAAGGAAAAAGGAGTTGCCTGTCATATAATTTTATATTCAGCATATTTAAATGATTTATACCATTACCACTTTGTCTCAAAGTTTCTTTAAGATATGAAGGAAGTCCTGAGTACACATTTTAAAATAAATTAGTTCACATAATGGAATTTGTTTCAAAGTTATTAAAAAGTGAGATTTATTAAGGCATGACGCATATCTGAAGCTTGATAAAGAATAATTGAATAAGCCTAATAATTGATATTTCATTGCCCAATGTTTAAGTAAAAAGTCTGTATACTTAATAATCAATGATTTTAAAATCTCTTCTTTATTTAGTTTATTCTACTTTTTTGCTGGTGATATATTCCGGAATAAGATTAATTATTTTTAAAGATGCGATTAAAAGAGAATTTTGTATGTTATAACAATCAAAGAGAATTTTTTTAATGAAGTAAACAATTTTGAATGCTTGAAGTGCACAGTAGAAAAAAAAAAATTCTTTTAAAATTTTTATTACATTTTTATAAAAATGTTACAGGATTTTTAATTGCCAAAATTATTAAGACATTCTGTTACCAGTTTGAATTATGCTTCATTAATTTATTTTTTAAATCAAGTACATCATTTGCACATCAGAAAGCATGTTTTTTTAATTGGAGTTTAACCTTAAATTGGCTTTTTGTAATTAACTTTTTTTATTATTGTATATATATATATTTTTTTTTTAAATAACTTTGAATGTTATGTTTAGACTGGAGTACGAACACCAGTAGGTCTAACGAGAACTCCTCTTAGCACAAGCACATCATCTCTGGCTTCATACTCTCAATTCCATGTAAGTTGAATTCTAGTTAATTCATATAATTTAATATATGTAGCGCAATCATTGGTTTGGGCATGATTTAATTTAACTTATTATACAATAAGTTAAAAAAATTATACAAAGTGAATAAGTCAAAAACACTCTAAATAAAGTACAACATTTAAATCTGTTTTTTGTACTCATATTACAACAAATATTGAAAAGATTGGAACTTGAAATTGGCGAATCTTGTCTTGCATTGTTGATAGCTTGACCTCTGCTATCTCCTCTTCGGAATAACTCATGGGTGCAAGACTATCATAGTTATAATAATGTATCTATAATATAATGAGGTTAAAAATAATGTGATTTAAATGTTGGATATTATAATTTTAATTAGTTTTACTTATAAATAGTCAAGCAAGTAAATCTTCGCTCTTTTAACCATTATATGAACGTATTTGTTTCATGGGACCATAAGAAACATATATATTGTCGGGGTATTGTACGGTTAATACAGTTACCAGTTGGCCTCGACTGAGCGTAGTTCAATTTAGGGGTAAAACGACTAAGTGGATGAAGGAGATGAGTAGACAAGATGACCTCAAGTGTCAGACGGATCAGCAAATCACTTTTGGTCTGCGGTGTAAGGGATTAGTCTTCTGACTTAGCACGTGGGAGTACAAGCTGGCCGGTCAGCATCCAGATCTTGAATGGAGAGAAAGAGAGAATAGGATAAAGTTTATAAGTAGCATGATATGAGAAAAAGGCAGTTTGGTGTAAAAGAAATAAGCGTACATATATTATATACTGAACAACTGCTAAGAAAGTCTACACCGAAAGGGGGAAGATCGTAGGATGTGACATACTCCTTGGAGGACAGTGGTAATCATTCTGCCGTTACATTTACAGTTATTTTTAAGCTTTACCTTGACGCCATTAAACTTTATTAGTAAAAAGTATTTATAACGTATATACATATTTAAATTTACAATTTGAGTATTTTACAATACAATAATAAGAAATGAAAATACATCTGTTAGGTGCATTACACGACCGAGCTCGTGTTGCGCTGCCAGGTAGCAGGCAGGTGGCTGAAATAGGCTGCCACAATATTAACAATGCTTGAAATCGATATTAAAATCTCATATTCAAGATTAAGAGCTCTGTGCATAACATACTCGTTATCACTATCTTGAAAATATAGTATAAACTCAAAAAAAGTAGTATAAACTCAGTGATAAAATGTTAATTTTGTTCTATTTTAAATACAAAAATTAATGTGATAAAAAATATCTGACGAGTCCACTCACACATCCTTTCTTATTGCTGTATCTTTGCCAGCATTGAACCGAATAAGATATTTTTGTTACTTTATTTTTTAATTTAGCATTGCAGGCAATTATGTTATCTTTGTAATGAGCATTTGAACGTTCTGGACATGTGTAAAAGGTCGTATCTGATATATCAAATTTAAAATTATTTTTTTACATACTTTGTAAAAATAAAATGCATAATTTTCAAGTCATACAAAAATTTTCTGTTTCCAAAATTATTTGATCTCATACTTTTTTTCCCACCTTTGCCCAAAAATGTACGATGCGAAACGTTAAACAGCTCTAAGAAGAAAATTTTATATCTTCACTTTTTCTCTTAATAATTTTTAAAATGATGTAATTGTGAATTGTGGCATTATATAGATAAAACTTACATTGAAAGCAATTAAGGAGGTCTTCAACTTGACCTCTTTTTTCTTTCTTTCACTTTTTTTTCTATTTACTTACGTTTTATAAAAAAATATAGTTAATCATAAACCCTTAGGTTTTGAACTGTATTCTATTTCTGGTGAAGAGGTCTTATTAAAAAAAAATTCATATTGTTTTAGGAAGGAATAGAGAGATCTGTAACAAGATCTGCTTTGAAAGAAGTGGGCAACACTCCAGGCATTGCACACTCATCGCCTACCCTGGTCACTCCTCGTCGTGGAACCCCTGCCTCTAGCAAAAGGACTCCTCAAACAATACCTCGTCTTACTCATTGTCGTAAAAGGCTTCCGATCAACATATAAAGATTATTAAGTTACTCCTATGCTTGATGTACATTGTATGATAAAAAATTTTAGTGATTAACGCCTAATAATATTAATGTTTAAGATTGTGATTTTTATCCATGAACTATTTATTTTTTTTATATTTTATGGTCTAATGTTAGTCTAGAAATTGTTTCTATATAAACATCTATTTGTTTTTATCCCTTATTTTATTTCTACCATTTCATTTACCAAGTACTACTGCCTTTTCACTTGTCTTTTCAGACTTTTTTTTTTAAAATTTATTTAATGAAATTTACTACTGTATAAACAATACAACTAGTAAAAATGCACACATTAGAAATCATGACATGAACAGACTTGAAGTGAAGAGATACTGCCCAGTGGTAGCACTCCCTATTTAATTCTATGTGAGAAGATCACGAGGCCATCTTCTTCTCAGACGCCTAAAGGTATTATCAGGAATCGAGGAAGAAGTAAGGCTGGAAACAAGTGGATTCTGATGGGAATGGAGTTTATCATGAAAGGATAGGTATCTGGCTCGGGCTAAATCAGCAGAATATGGGACATTAAGGTCTTTATGAAGAATTTTGGATTGTAAGGATTGGATACGATAGGAATTTGATGGTTTGGTAGAACCCCAAAACTCAACTCCATATGTCCATATAGGTCTTATTATGGTTAAGTAGATGAGTCTTGTAATTAATTGAAAGTTTAGAGCGTTTGTCTAGTTAGTGTTGGAGCAGTCAGACTTGTTGAAAAGAAAGAAAAAAAAATGTAAAACGTTCTAGTTAAAAATGAACTTCAAACTGAAGATGAATATAGAACATAAGTTTAAGGGTGGGATTTCGAACAGTGGCATTATTTTGGATTTCTTGTGGGCAACCAGACTGTGGACAATCATTGTCATAAATTTTATGATTGAAATTTGGCAAAGCAATTATCACATATGCGTTCAATAAAGGCATCAGCCCTACAAAATTCTGCTGCAAGTTTTTGAAAATAACAATAAGTGCAAACTTGTCAATAATGAACTATATTTTCTTCCATATTCACAGTGCAACAGCAGCAAACACAATATTAATCTAATTTTAAAAAGAGTTGACATATAACAAATAGTATAAGCAAAATTAGAATGAACAGTTTTCAATTATTAATCTCTTTGTAGACATTAAATTTTGTTCATGAAAGGAGAAAAAGAAGAGACAGCCAGAAATAATTTTTCTTGTTATTTTGTGAAGATTTTTCTCGTTTTGTAAAATTGAATGACATTAAAGCTTCTTCAGTGTATTTTTTCAATTGCTTTATTTTATGGTTATTCAAAAAATATGCTGAAGCACCATTCCTTTTCCTATAATGTAACTGTATTTTAATTATAACAAATAATTAAGTGCCACGAATTTTTTTTTAGTGTGGCTAGAGTCAGTAGGTCCGTTATTCATTTATATTTCATTGTGGGTCTTTTTTTTTTTTTATACTATTAAATAATATCAGCACTGGCATTTATGATAACACTACATGTATAAGTAAATAACATAATCGGAACCAACTTGTTTACCAAGCTTGATGGCACACTCAAGTTTCTTCGAGAGTTCTCAGCTCCATATAATCTCCCCGAGCATATGCAGGTCTGGCATTCTCAGTCTCCTGATACCATCTCTTATTTCTCCTTTAGTTCATAATAAATTGTTTTCACTGTTTATATTTAACCGTTTTTATTCAGTATGTAATTGGTGAAATAGTTGATTTTTTAAATCAAACAAAATTACAGGTACTTTAGAGGAAGAAATTTTGAAATCTTTATATTTATGCCCCATTGAAAACATCAATGAGGATAAAACCTACCTTATATTGAAAAATTCCAATTATGTACGATCCCTTGATTATGGATTAGTAGGAGCTAATGCTTAAATCTCAGTTAATATTTCATCAATACCATTAAAACAACAAAATTCCTATTTATTATATCGACGGTAAGCAATAAAAACCTCATAACTCCATGGCTTTGTAAACAACATAACCCAGTTTCTAAACTAACTATATATGCCTAAAGAGATTTGAAGGTACATCCATATGTTTAACCAATAAATGATTATGGGTTGTATTACTATTAGTTAACTCTTATTTTCCCATTGAAGGAAACTTATTGACTGTTCTACACATCATTAGTACACACATGTTTGATGATCCACATGTTTAGGTTGAAACGTCAGCACCAATAAAAACTTTATAATGACTGCGTCCTGAATATTTGTCACCCATCTTATTTTCCCATAGTAAAGTTTAAAATGGAGTAACAAAATTTTCATTGCCAAATATCAATCGGTCAAAAATTGTCACACTAATTGTAAGTGGATAAAGTTATTTCACAAAATGGAAAAATTATTCACTAATTTAGTTATCTAATATGTTATATGATAAACGTCCGAAATAGACTCCTGACGATAGATACCTAATTATTTAAATATAATATCGGATCTACTGTTATTAAACTACAGTAAATATATTCAAGGTTATAAACACATGTTTTATACATCCATAAAATATTTTTATATTCCACTTTTTCTTTAACAAAAGTTATAACAATGTCATTGCCTTGAATTGGTGGATTTTATGTACTTTTTTCCCCTTCAAATTTGAACATAATTTTAACAGTTTACATTTCCTCAGGAAATTTAATTTAATTTCCTTTAAAACATGTGGTTTCCGTTAAATAATTTTTTTTTCAGACATTATTTATAATTTTTTCCTCACCTACAACTTTCTATATTAGATATTATTTTTTCTGAAATTCTCAGCTTTTCAACAATATATTATACACATACCTTCTGCCTATTATTTCTGGAGATTTATTTTCGATCTGAACAAATGTTTTTCCTTTATTCAATTATTAAATTCTTTTGAAGATTGTATTTAGCGTTTTTTTATTACTGCTGACAGTAAGAAATAATTGATTATTTAAAAATAAACCAAATTAAGAGTGATTTAGAGGAAGAAATGTTGAACATTGGGTATTTTTAAGACCTGTTAAGCAAAGTCAATGGGGATAAGACCTAAATGGTTTTTTTTAGGGCCATTTGATATTACATTGATATGCCGAGTTTAATAAAAATTGTTAGAGCCCTTTTTTTTTTGTTGAGAAAATTGGAAAATCGATGATGTTAAATGGCACTTCCGGTTACCCGATTTTAACAAAAAAGTTGTCAAATCGCAGCCATATCTCTTTCTCTTTCATATTTTCAGTTTTGCTTGGATTCGTTTTTTAGTTCGACTGTTAACAGACACACAGACCGTTTTGTGGGACTTGGTTATTTGGATTCAGGGGACCTCAAAATGTTTATTTCTATTAAAAACACAGATTTGGAAATTTTCACAATTGCAATATTTTCCTTTCTATACATTTCATACAGAGGTGTAAATGAAAGTACAAATATCTGAAGTTTCCAAATTACAAAATTTGTTTACTGTGTTTAGATGATATTTTTGTCAGTGATTTAAATAATTGCCATAAAATAAAGGTCAATACCCACATATCATATTCAAACTCCACTCAAACCAAGAGAACCACTAACAAAGTTTAGAATAAAACAAGAAAATTGACAGTAAAACCATTTTGATCATCTTTATTTTTCATAGAAACTTAAAATAACAGTTATCATTAAATAGATGATAAATTTATACTATATAATATTTTACATGAATATCAGTCTTATTAAACAGCAAATACTTATTCAGCTTGATCTTTTAGATGTGCACACGTAAAAAAATATAACATTTTTTAAGATGTTATAAAAAATACATGCAGGATACTAAATCCTTCAACTATTATAATTAAGTATACATTTTAGATGTAACAGCTACTGCACATTGACAATTTCAATTGTCATCAACTAAATATCACAATAATTGAATATTATTTAGTGTTAGGTCAAGTAGAGTGAGTGATGATAATGTTTCATCACACTTAAATCTTTTTGTAATAATTAGCTTCAAGTGAACTTTTTAATATAAAACTGCTACAGAATTTTATGAAGGAATATTTCTATATTGACCAAGAATAAATATATTTTTATGTTGTTTTGTTTTTTTAAGCAACAATGACTTAAAATCATTTTGTTCTGTATAATGAACTCAAGATTTTATCTTAAGAAAAACATTAAAATACCGATTTTAGTTGAAATATTCAAGGATAACTTAAGCCTTGATATAATTTTTTTTTTTAAATACTTGCTTAATGTTCCAGATATGTCATATCATATTTAATGGCACTGTTTTCCTCCTTTATTAAAAAACAAAATCAGAGGAATCTGGTCAGCATTTAGTCACAATGCTAAATGCTGGAGGGAATTATGTTCATACATTAATAAATCGAATATTAACGGGGAGAGGACAAAGTATGATCCAATGTATCCTTAATTGCAACAAGGAAGTCTTCAGTATGAAGGTACATTCCTTCCTTCACGTTTGGCAGCCCATGAATGCAGGCTGCTAAATCTTTTGTCATCTTTCCACTCTCTACACACTTGACACAGGCCTCTTCCAAAGCCAAAGCAAACCTGAATCAAAAGAGAATACCAATTAAACTGCATGAAGACTTTATCAGCAAACAATTGAAAAACATCTATGATGTAGATAAACATCCTTTGTTTATAGGAATATTTTACCTTGCTAATTCAGGTGTTTCATCTAGTTTAGCTCTATGTTGTAGGCCACGGGTCCAAGCAAAAATAGAAGCTATTGGATTAGTTGAAGTAGGCTGGCCTTTTTGATGTAACCTAAAGATTCAAAAATATTACTTGGTTATTTGAAGCATAATATATTGACATAAATAAAAATATATTATATCTACAGGAAACAATGTTAAAAGCTACATGCAACATACCTGTAATGACGGGTCACTGTGCCGTGAGCTGCTTCAGCTTCGATTGTTTTACCATCGGGGCACATCAGGACTGAAGTCATCAAACCCAAAGATCCTACAAAAAGATAATTCTATTCAGGAACATATTCAGAAGTAGTTTTTTGGGAGGTGAAGAGTGGGGAGAACTATTAGGATGACTAATAAATTGGAGAGAAACCATAAGCTTGTTAAAGAGAGAAACTGCCATAAATCAATTATTTCATTAATGCATCTAAAACAAGTTCAGTTTCTCACAAGGTAAGTCAAGTTTTCAATTTTACAAACCCTGATAATTTATAACTAATAAACGATAATTTATTCATGTATATTGGTACTAGTAGGTATATTCTAAACCAATATTTTTTTTTTCTCAATGCTGATTTGAAGAGAAGAAATTCCACCTGTTTAATTTTTTTAAAAATGATTATTTACTATCTTGATAAAACAAATGTATGATACTGAATTTAGTCCATTTCACAAAAAAATAAATAAATGAACATCACTAAATGGTACAACTTATAAGAAATTTGTGTGCACAAATGGGGGACCCTAATTTTTATTCCAATTCTCTTCATAATATATTGAATTTTATTATTGAATCGAAACTTACTTCTCTCTAGTATCATGGCTTAAATAAACACCTATACGAGACAACTAATAAACTGAGTTTTCGAAGAAATGCATAAGAAAATTGCTAGTTAATAATTAACTACTAAAATGTATAGGTCCTCAAATTATATATATCAAAATATTAATTTTGAAATAATTTACTATAGTTGATACTAAACCTTAGATTTTAAATTGAAATAAACAAATACTAACTAAACTAAACCAATCCAACAAAGATTAATCATAAACTTATTATTTGATTTATTAGTTTTTATATTTTAAAAGTGATTGATGACACACACGTATCTAAAATTATGTAAAGAACTGATAGCCTATCAGAAGTCTAAAACTGAGATAAAAATCAATCAATGGAGCATACCATATCCTTGAGCTACTATATCTGACTGTACATCTCCGTCATAATTCTTACAAGCCCAAACAAATCCACCACTGGACTTCAAGCATTGTGCAACCATGTCATCAATAAGCCTGTGCTCGTACCATATTCCAGCCTTGTCAAAGTCAACCTTATAATTCCTATTAGAACAATAAAAACAAATTTTGCTAATAATTGTTAATATAATACATGGAATCTATTTACTATTTCATACTTATTAAAAGAATAATTGATTAATTAATGGATGAATATAATCAAAATCATAGTTCATTTTAATTTCTTCATAGTAAAAGAAATATTACTTGGAAAAATGGTAAAAAGAAAACAATACCATTAACTCTTTTTTTAATCTTATAAATAAAAATTAAGTACTTAGAAAATGAGGTATCCACCAATAACATCATAATTCAAAAGAAAAGTTAAAGTCCTCTTTAAGCAGATCAATATTTAAATTATAATTAAACTATTATTAACAGGTTCTTTGTAAAAGTGCTATTAATAATTAACTCTCACTTAATTGTTGTGTATTATTTTTGTTTTGTCTGTTCTTAACAGGTAAAATGTATCTGATATAAATGTGTACTTAAATTATCGTTGCATCCCCTTTCACTAATTCAACAAACATTTTAAATATAAAATAATCAAGTTTACATACAAATTACCTTTCATAAACTTCTTGAAATATGTCTTTGAATCTTCCATCGTATTTCTTCAAAATAGTGTTTTTAGTAGATAAATACAATGGCCAATTCTTTTGTAAAGCTACCTAATAACAAATAAATTGACTAATGGTAAATAAAATATTTTTCAGTAAATGTCCTGTAAATAAATAAATTAATAATATTCTAAAATATACTAAGGTCTTGAAAAAGTGATGTCAAAAAATATATCTCTTCTATCAAACTGCTATTTATAGATTTTGATTTTAAAGTGAACAAATACTCGAAAATTGATTATACATATATAAAAAATAAATAGATAAAATTAAAGCTATATAATATAAAATTATAGATAATGTAAATATACAATTTATGTTTATATAATTAAATTTAATTGACACTGAGCTACTTTTGATCAACATTATTTAATATGAAGAAAATAAATGTTAAATACCTGAAAACTAGAATGAGCGAATGCTTCTATGGACTCATCAGTGTTGTACATGGCAAGAGCAATGCCCGGAGATTTGTAATTAAACACTAAAATTGTTTGTTTCTCACCTTTATTGTTAGTATACACCATTTCAACCTACAAAATCAAAGCAGATTTCTTGTTTGTAAATACATAACATTTTAATTTGTTAAATTAAATGGTAGAAGTTAATTGAGAGTGTGGTCATAGATAAAATAACACAAATGAGAAGTCTTATGTTATTTTATGCCAATGTTTTGGCCTGAGTTCAATAAAATTTTATAAACGGCCGGTGTTTCTTCATTCACCAGTACTAAGTAAAACCAAAATAACAACTGATAATATATGAAGAATTACAATACGTTTTATATAGCAAATACAAAAACCGAAATATAAGAGGATAATGAAACATGTGGTAATTCATGAAAAAAAATTGTTATATTACACAATATGTAAGTAATAAAAAAAAAAAAATTAGTAATGTTATTTAAATTGTAAGAAGTTATAAAGTAACATGTGCAGTAGAAGTGAAATAAACAGAATTATAATGAAAACGTAGAAATAAAATATTAAATTAGCTAACTCAAAAGCTATACAGATCAATTCACTTTAGAATATATGAAGTTACAGATATTGAGAAATAAGTTAAAAAGAAAACAAAACCAAAATTTTTAAGATTGAGATGGCACCGGTAACCAGTGAAGTTTAAAGGAAAAGTAAGCGATTCCTAGATCATTTATACAAAAAAAGTAAATATCAAAAAATAATATTAAATAGTCTAAAAAAACCGAAAAACAGCCATGAAGTGCAATAATATGTATGAAAAATTTGGTGAAGGTGTTTACCGTTCCAGGTGTTGAAACAATAAGGTCGGAAGCTTTGTACTGGTCACCATGGGCATGCCTACCAATCACGATAGGTTTTGTCCATCCTGGCACAATACGTGGTATATTTTTACATATAATAGGCTCTCTGAACACAGTGCCTCCAAGAATATTTCTAATTGTGCCATTAGGTGAAAGCCACATCTTCTTCAGATTAAATTCTGTAAATAATATTGTTATTGTTACATTTATATCAAACTAAATCAAATGACAGAACATTAATGTTATGCAATTTATATTTTTCGGTACTTGTGATTTAGTGAGTCACCATGGACTGCTATCCACCACTGTTTATAACCTGAACACTGATAATTGTGATACTGATAATACCTATCTTAAGAAAATTAAAATAGAAAAAAAGAAATATAATAATAATAAAACACTTTTATTTTACAATATTTTATTTATTTTGGAAGATAAAATAGCGAGGAAAAGGTGTCCTTCTCTGTGGACCCACCGCCACAAAAAATCACATAAATATGAATCGAGATGTTTCCTTGCAGTTCCTCGGTGTTCTTTATTCCTCCACTTAGCTAAGCCCCGTAATCTTCTATGCGATGAGTATGCCCGAATTGAAGGATCAACAAAGTTGTATCAGAGATTCACCCGGTAAATGTATATGATCTCTTTTATTTCAGTTAATTTTCGCTTGCATTATTTTTAAGAAGAGCAAAGCAATAAAATATGTTGGAAGGGGAAGGCAATGTTCATGCACTATCGATGTTGGGATGGATGGGCACCTCTGATTGTAATTGTCTAAAATGTATTGTATTTGTAATATGTTAGTCTTGTAAAATCATGTATTTATCCTTGAGAGACAAAATAACATTAATCACATAATCTATTAATTTGATAATGATTAATTAATTTGATTATCTATTGATAATATATTAACTACTTTATTTTAAACAAACATTGATTTTTTTGGGGGGGGGAGGGAAGCATATTGTTTTATTTCATAGCCCTGTTTAGAATTTAATGCTTATTTAATCTTTAAAAGTCTTAATTTAACCATTACAACATTAAGATACCGCAGTTTATGGTAAAGCATAAAATTTTGAGTGTTAATCACAATGATGTTTTGCTATGTTAATACCATCATAGTTTGTAGGTTGAACCCTTAAATCAACGTTCAATTATATAACTGAAAATAAAATTAAGCCAAAGGAAAAGGTGTATTTTACAACAAATGTGTTTTATCTGTTCTGGATGGATGACACTTTCAGGGGATCCCTCTTCCCCAAAAAATATATATATTTAATTTTTAATGAAATATATATTTTTAAAAAAATCACCGAATGGGAGGGTACAGAAAGCAGATAGCCAAGAATTGTGGAGAAGGGAGAGGGTGGCAATCTTGAAGTTTATTTCAGGTGCCAGTTGTTCTTCTTTCACCACTGACACGCTATAAAATATTTTTAATAAAATTAAATCTAACACGCAATAGTTTTTAAAAACTATCTACAAACCTTCAACACGAGCCTCATCTGGGGTGATGGTTGCACATTTGATTCCAACACAGTACTTTTTAACAGCTTGTGCAGCATCTATAGTAACTTGATCATTAGTTGCATCTCTATGAGGAAGACCAAGATCGTAATACTTAACATCTACCTGAAACAGAAAATTTGATGTATTAGTTGTCAATAGCTAATTAAAATTAATAGTTTCCCCATTTTTAACAAGTCGATAAGCATATTAAATTATAGGTAATTTCCTGGCAGAAAATTTAATATACTATTAACAAGAGATTAACTAAACATCTTTGAGGATATAAAATTAATCCAATGAAAATGTGTCATGATAAAACAATATATAAATTGAAGCATAACTTATCATAGATGTAATTAATGTGAGGATCGTGAAAGAATCCTTTTGTGGGTAAAAATTATATTCATTAAATAATCAATTAAAAGCTTGGAATCATTTCTTTACTAATGCTTTAAAATAACTAATTTATATTATATTATTATTAGGTTTTTAGTTTTAGTTTTTGTTTTTTATTTTTGTTTTCTCCCTACAATATAAATAATTATAAAGGAAATGATATCAAATACCTATGATTAATTATTTAAAGAAAAATTCAATGTCAACTAAAATTTTGTACCTTTCAATACTGAAAATTTGGAAAAATTAATTTTAAAAAAACAGAAACAGATGTTACCTGTTAATACTGTACATAGGATTTCCATTGGATTAATGATTCCAGATTTAAAGAGTATAACAATTCAATTTTGACTAAAAAATATTAATGCATCTTTCCATAACAAATAATTGGTTAATTTTTTTAACGACATCACTGAGAAAAATTAAGTTTTTCTGTTAAAATCAAATTTTACACAAATAAAAAATAGATTAGAAATGATTATGTGATAAGAAAATATTTTAAACTGTTCTTATTAATGGATTAGTGGTGCTTTAATGCCTTAATATGCTAAAAAATAATTCTCGTTTTGTATTTAGAGGAAGCACTCACAAAAAAGAAAAGATAAGTGTTTATGGTGAGTTTTTATCCATCAAATTAGGGAAGAAAAACTTAATTTAATTAATTAAATAAGGCACAATAACCTTAGTTGTAGAAAATCAATGTAATTTTCACAATACAATTAATAAATATGATTTTAACTAAGTAAAAGGTGTAAGTTACTGGTCAACTCTATTTTAAATCTTTAGCGACCTACAAAAAATTTAATTTATTCTTGTTGATATGGATACCTTAACATAGGGAAATATAAGATTTTCCTTTATATTAGCCCAAATAATCCTCGTCATTTCATCTCCATCCATGTCCACCACCGGATTTGCTGCTGCAATTCTTTTAACGGCAGCATCTTAAACAGAATTAAAAATTTTAATCATTTACTTAATGATATAAAAAATGCTCATTTTATAAATTCAATAAATATAAAGGATGGACATAACTAATTGGGCTTTATTATATTTAGAATTTTCTAAACAAAAGAAAACTATTATACATCCTATGAAAATGACTTCAAGCAGCTCAAATAAATTATAATAACTTAAAAACTAACAAATACTTACAATTCCTCTTGGAAATATAAATAGGAACAACATTGTTGGAATTAGAGAGCTTGGTTAGACTTCTCAAAAAATTAGTAAGCTTGTTGCTAGCCATAACAGTAGGATTTAGAATTCAATTTGTTTTAAAATGTTTTTAAAAATGTAATATCTTTAAGCCCGAACTAAATGAACGCCCCCAAACGATAAATATGCGCCTACTGAAAATAACTTAAAGAAGGGGAATGGAGTGGTGGGAGGTAAAAGGCAAAAGGAATATCTTGTGTGTGCTCCCGCCCATTTTATGACTCGTTAATCGCTGCCACGTTTCTTCTTTTGGTTTTAATTACATCTTTTCTGCTCATTATTTTCGAATGCAGGCTTCTATTATTATCTAGTAAAATATAATAATACGTAAAGGGCATTTTACTGCTTTTATATATATTTTTTTTTCCCCACTTTTCCCATTATTTTCTTAAATATTTTCCATTTTCTAATAAATAAATTCTTTAAAAATAAATTAAGTGCTTTATTATAGTTGATAAATATGTTTTCATCTAACAATGCTTAATAACGCATCAAATAACTTCTCTAAAAGTCAATATAATGTTAATTATTTCTTTGATGAATATGTAATTTAAAACAATAATGTTTATTTAGTATAGAAATCCTTCCTGGATTTTCATACCTCGGATATTGTAAGAGCTAAGAAAATTTTTTTTCTTTAATAAAAAAAATCTTATTCACATTTCAACTAAAATTAGGCCATTTTCAAATGTGATTGAAAACGAATTTCAATTTAAATCTTGAGATATTGGGAACTGTATTTTGATCTTCTATTATTAATATTTATTGGTAAAATAAAACAAGTATTCATTGTTTTGAAATATATTGAGGTGATAAAATCTTTTTCCGTAACAAACATTTTGTACGCAATTAAAAGACTTATTTGCAATACATTGACACTGAAAATACGAAAATAATTCATAAAGCGAAATAAACCGCGTATTTATTATTTTATGAACTCCATTTTTCGTTAAATATTTACTGCATGCTAGGATAATATTAAATATAAAGCAAATATGTAATGTTTTAAAGAATGTTTTTGATTTGTATTTCTTAATATGCTCAAGGGCAAGATTGACCAAAAAAGCTCAAAATCATATTTTATAATTAAACTAGGATGAAGCATTTCTTTTTTGTTTTATTGGGTCATATTTGTTTCTCTGAGTGAATTGAGCTGAACAGGTTCTCTTACTAAATGCATGCACGAGTGGGAAAAGATATAAAATGTTATCTTTTTTTTTTAATGTAGGTCTTCAAGAACCAGTTAAACATCATTTTATACATTTTCTTGATTTATTCTTCCAGAGTAATCCCCGTTATATAAAAATAAATTTTAAAAAAATTAAATCCTAAATCCGCTACTGTCTCTTAATTAAATTAGTAAATGATAAATTATTTTTTAATCCGAAGTAATTCAGTAATAAATAACGTTGCGAAAACTAAACATTTACAAAACAATTACAATGGCAAATCTCTTAATTTGTCCTTCACTTTCTTCACTGCTGCTGCTTCAGCATCAGATCTTCACAGTTCTCTCAAAGACATAAAGAGTCGTGAACGTTGAATTTATTTCGTTCATAGTCAGAAGATGTCACACCATTCCTGATTAGTTTTATCAATTACTTTTTGTCCCTTAATTAAATACAGTGATCATTCATTTTAGTTACGTGTTTCGAAACTGAAATGAAATATATTATATAAGTGATAACTTTGGAAACTTATAGGATTGAACTTGGTAAATATGTAAAATAAAATAAGGGTACAAACAGAATACATATTATAAATACATCAAACATTCCGGATACATAGTTTTTTTAAATCATTATGAACGATATTTACTTAAAATATCTATTCGATTGTAAAACTATTTATAAATCGACCGTTATTTTTACGAATAATTCATCTTAAAAAGACAGCCCCATGATTTAAATCAATATTTAAAGAAAAATAATAATAACTCAAAAGGTGTGAAATTTTTAAGTTGTTCACTCTTATAATTAAATCTATTATAAGTTGTTGTTAAATATAGCCTCTTAATCCTCAATGTTTTGTATCAGGTTTTTTCACATTGTTTTGGTTTAGACTAATTCCTTTTTTCCTAACTGAACTCACTTATAAACACACGTTATATATAATTTTCCACAAAATATTAGCTATCAATATTTTGACTTACTACTAGATTGCCTAGAACAACCCACTGTGCGACGGCGGAATTTAGAGGACGATTTTTAACGAGGATATTTTTAAGTTAAGTAAAAAATACTTATACCTATTTTTTTGGCCATAATTCTGTCATTAAAATGAGTTAATGTTATGAGATTACGAGTCTCTATAACATTGTTACAATTGTTAACATTAGTTGATGATATCTTCAGGATTTGTGTATTTTTTGGAGTCTAAGCAACAGAAAAACAGTCGTTAAGTACAAATATATGTAGAAACGTTTTATTTTAAAGTAAAATTTATTTTACCTTATACTTCCTGAAGGTTGGAATTTAATTATAAGAAACGTTATATTTGTGTCAGTTGCGTAGTTAGGAGTGGGTCAAAACCAATAATCTTTATGGAAGGGTCACTTCTTATCATCCATTGACGCCCTCCCACGTTCCAATATCGAGTTATGTTATCTTCTTTTCGAAATTTCATTCTTACACCTTAACCCGTCTGATTCATTGGTCCATTCTCTCGAATAGAGTTGGGTTTTTTCTCTGGTTAATAAAAAATATTGTACTAATTTCCACAAGTAGTCAACCACACACGATGTCGAGACGTACTTGACATAAATTTAAAAACGATAGATAAGATAATAAAATACTTATGTTAGCTGACATAACGGGCAAAAGTTAAATAATAAATGACGAGGTTCTTTTTATGTAAGCCAACGCAGATTCGAAAAGTTTTTTAGATGAACCAAATCATTTCGTTATGGAAAAAGACGAAGGAATTTTACGCATGAAGAAAGATAGAACACGATTGCACCTCATCCCATACTTGAAGCTGGCGCAGTATGATGTAGTCCGATATAACCCGTGAGAAAAGTCGACATTATTTGATAAAAACTTTAAAAGCATTTTTTAAATATTTATATCTATATTAAAAAAATTAGAGTCTGCCAATCGTATTTTGCTACCTGTAATAATGGCGGCTAATTTTAAGAATATTAGACCAGTAACTTGAGGATCGAAACGGAAAATTCATTGCAAAAATGTGGAAATAGTTTTTATTTGTTAGCTGGTATATATGGGTTCAGACATGTGAAAAACAAAATTACTAAAGCGATTTTTAGAGAAAAAAAATCCATATTTTTTCGACCTTTCTTTAATTTTTCACCTATCACTCCTAAACGGTACATCAAAGTGAAAAACACGCTCTTTAAAAAATTGAAGAACATTAAATTTTGCTTCGAATGAATACCTAAACTTAAAAATTTGGTGAAGAAGTATGTTCGATAACCACGGTCAACCAACGCTGATTTTTACCAAATTCTTCAAAAGCTGATACAAATTACTATAAATGGTGCTGCAGCTTGGAAATGAGCTGTCTAAGAGAAAAAATCATACAGTAAAAGTTGTAGTGCATCAAATTCCGCGTCCATTGAGTACCAAAAATCTTAATTTAAAATATGCAATATCATGCAACAAAATCTAAAAACTTGCAATTTAGCCCGAAAAGGCCAAAATGAAATTTCAGTATGTTATTCTACAATTCGTGAAACTGATAGATTGTCGGGTTTGAATATTTTGCACCAAAGCGAACAAAATGTGCAATAACATGAAATTCCGGTCTCTAGTTATTAGATTAAAATTTTAGATTAAAATATTTCAGTTTTTGGTCGTGATATTTTTTAGCTCAATCATTGGACCATTCAGGTTTAAATAAAGGATTTAAGTAAGTATTCTTATGTACGAAGTTTCTGTCGTATATTTAAGAAGCTGAGTTAAGATAAGTGTATTCTGCCACTCTAAAGCCCAGCAATATAAGGAAGTACGACTGTTTCGTGTTTCCTTCAAAGATTGTTATGTTAGTGATAAAAAAAAAAATCATAACAGCTTTATTTTTCTAGTGTCCATTTATATTCTTTAAAAATGCTAATTGTTGCTAAGTTTCCGAGGCCTTGAAAGGCACCACAAGTTGGCTAGACCTTTAAATGGTAGGACATCGATTTGATGAAGTTGAGACGATTTTAAGAAGGAGTTGGGAAACCATATTTTCCAGGTAGTCCTAATGAGAGGTATCATCCATCTCACGACTTCATGGCAATGTAGGATAGCCATTTTTTACTTTCTTTTGATTAAAACCATTTTTAATTTCCTCTGCTGCTTCGTGAATCCATCTTCCTGCCTGACTTGCTCGCAGTTCTGCTGCTTTCAAGTCATATCACATTTGGTGTCAATGGAAACTAGTCATTGTAGTTTAGAAAATTCTTAAAATGACTCAATAAAAATGTTTTAAAAAAACTGGTGTGTCAACTCACACGACGTTCCTACCTATTTCAGAAAAGTTTTTATATCTTTGCATATGCTCATCAAGAAACAAAAAAAAATTGAATTAAATTTATCATCCTGAAAATTGATCAAAGAAAAGATTTGAGTACGATTCATTTGATAAACTAAAGCAATGTAAACCGGCTTAAAGTACACCAGTGTAAACATTTCAATACTCTCTAATATTATTGATCAAAAACTTTTTGCCATAGTCTAATTTTTTCAAACAATAATTTCTGTTAGAAGTAGAGGTAATTTCACTTTCAAAAGTTTTCTTATAAATTTTACCATAGAATATATATTTAGCGAGTTAGGCCCCAAAACATTTTTTCTATTCTTTATAACTTTTTTCCTTAATTTTTTCGGGAATCTAGTCAATGTACGAGAATTGAAAGGACAATTATTAGAACATGATAGGAAAGTTTCGTCAAAATCGATAGAGCCGTTTTCGCGCGACAGTCTATAGAAAACAATGTTTTTAATTTATTGCGCAGCAGCTGTTGCGCATAGAGCACCCAATTTCTGTCACAGGCATCAGTAGTCAAAACTCTACAAAATAAAAAAAAGAAGCAACTAAATCGGTTCAGTAGTTCCCGAGGAAAGTTTGGCATAGACAGACAGACCAATGGCTAAAAATATGTTTTTCGGACTCAGAGGGCTCTGAAACGTATAAATCCGTCGAAAACCGCATATCAGTAATGTGACCCGATCGCAGTACTTTTCTAACTTGTATAGGTAGGAAAGCAAAAAACACATTATTTATTTGCTCTTCATGAAGAAAATAAAGAGTTATTTTGAACTACTTTCATTAGGCGATGTGCAAATAGAATAAGATCTTCAATTTAGTT